TGTCGGCGAGCCCGGTGGCTGGACTTACCATGCCAAGGGCCTCTGGATTACCCTCCCCAAGGAGGAACATCCCAGTCTGACCTTCGTGGGTAGCAGTAACTACACGAAGCGCAGCTATAGTCTGGATCTGGAGGTGGGAGCGCTCGTTGTCACGGGCGATGCAGAGCTGAAGCGTCAGTTGGGCGCCGAGACGGAGCGGCTGCAGGAGGATGCGAAGGCCATTTCACGAGAGGATTTGAGGAGGACGGAGAGGAGGGTTAGTTGGAGGGTAAGGTTGGCGATGTGGATTGTTGAGAAGGTGGGAGGGGCGTTATAGTATAGGTACCTATATGGGTTATGTGTGATGCGATGTATTTGATAGATAGATAGTATACCCCGTGTATTATATCGAATGTACAGTATGGGATAGAGTCTACATCTACACCGGGTAATTCAAGAATAATGATCAAGTAGTATGAACCCGAAACTTTTATATGATAAAATAGTAGTGGTCTATCACCAGGCAAGCAATGCAATCATCTCGCACACACATGCACACCGTAACGCCAATCCCGCATTTTTATTCCCACCAAATGATAGATAAATTGGTATCGTTGCAATCATTCAAGCATACCCATCACTCACATTCCACTCACTCACTCACTCACTCAGGTGAGGGATATCCACTACGCCCTGCCCGACACCTTCCCAGTAACCCTAGCAGGGCCCAATCCCTGCCGAACCTCATCCAGCATACGAATGCCAATCGCCTCATTACCGTTCTTTCCGCGCTTCGCCTTTGCGCCCTTCCGCTTAGCCTGGGAACTCGTCTTGTCATCCCACCCAGCAAGGAAATCATCCATGATGTTGTTGAAGTTGTGGGAAGGACGAACGGCATCACCGTTCGCGTCAACGAGACTCGGTGCCTGAGACGAGGCAGTCGAAATGCCCGAGACACCAGTCATACCGGTCATACCGGTCATTCCACTGACCATGGACATGTTGTCGTCGAACTCGTCCTCCTCATCGAGGGAGTAGAGGGCTTCGACGCGCTCGAAGCGGTCGTCGAGGAGACGGTGGCCCTCTGTACGGGCGAGGGAGGACGAAGTCATGGAGTAGGCGGAGGGGTTAGTGAGGGCGCCCTTGCGCTTCTTGCGGCGGATGGGGGTGCCTCCGACGGTGAACACGGTCGAGGCGAGGGTGCTACCCTGATGGGAGGGGACGACGCTGGGAGGACCGGCGGGGACGCCGGCTGTTTTGCCAGACTTCGCGTCCTTCTTGAACTTGGCGAATTCGCGCATCCAGCCTTGGTCTTCGGGGTGCATGTCGGGCGCGGGCTCGTTGTGTTCGGGAAGCTCGCCGGGCTTATCCTCCTGCTCCGAGGCTTGATAGCGGGCCTTTGCGGCCGTGGTGTCCATCTGCACAGGGGCCTTTTCTGTCGCATCGGACTCCCATCCATCGTCTTCTTCCTCGACATCGTCGAAGAGGGTATCCTCCCAATCACCCTGGTCCATTTCCTCTGCCCGCGTAGTCAACTGGCCGAAGACGTCCTCCTCGTCATCTTCATCCACGTACTCCTCGTCCTCCAGCGCCTCCAAGGCTTCGCGCAACCGCGGGTCCATATCCGGCTGGAAACCCGCAATAGCATCGGGCACGTTCTGCTGGTCCTGGTAGGTGGGTTTGCGCACGTAGGAAGACGCCGTCGAGCGCATGTCATAGCTGTAGACGCTTTCGGTCCCACCAAACTCGCTCCTCCCATCCTCCAGCGATACCTGTTTCAAAGCATCCTCCAGCTTCAATCCTTTGCCCTTGTCCTTGCCCTTCGTCTTGGCTTCGACGAAGTAAGCGTCACCGGCGCCGGTGCCCAGCTCGCGCAAGTGCTGCATGTAGTCGTATTGCGAGTCATCGTAGAAAATGCCGTAGTTGGCGGCTTCACCTTCGTTTTTGCGCGCGGCATCGCCGAAGGTTTGATTCAGCTCGGCGAGACTTTGGCCGCGGTGCTTGGAGGCGGAGGAAGATTCACTGGGGGTGATGGGAGGACCGTAGACAGGGTGCAGGACGCGGTCGTCGGCAGAGGGATCGTGAATGAGAGGGTCATGTTGGGAACGGTGGAAGAGTTGGTAGGTAGTTGCGGTTTTCTTGTCGCTGAGAGTGGGTTAGTTGGGTACATAGATTTGAGTAGGTGAATGTGGAGGGGCAACCTACATCCACTGCTTCCGGGGAGGCATTTTGGGCGGTAACCGGTGATCCGGGAGAGAGTCTCAGGGAGAGAAGTGAGAAGGGAGGGGATATAGTTGTGATGGTGAGAATGAAGCTCAAAGATGAAGATTAAATGTTGGACTGAATATCGGCAGAAAAATCGCGGTCGTGGGATGGTCACGTGCCGCTTATCGCGAAAGGTCCTCACCACCACCACTGCTGATATTATTGGATTTCATTGTATCGAGGGGGTTTATAATTTTATTTACTTCCTTCTATATCACTTTTATATCTCCTCATTTCTTGTAGTTTGCCTGAATGACTGCAAGAAAGTGCTGAGTCAGCCTTATCTTATCCGCGCGGGGTTCGACGAAAATTGCCCGATTGGGTTTTTATCAAACCTTTCTTAATAATCTTCTTTTCTCTTCTTCTCTTCTTCATCTTCCACCATCCCTGGTGTCTCTTCCTCTCATTATCCCCCAGGTACAGAGACAACCGTCACCATGGTGCTCGCCAAATCCAAGAACTCCGTCGGGCTGGGCAACAGCCTGATGAACGACCGTTTCGGCAAAGGCAAGGCCTCCTCCATGAAAAAGGCCTCGCACAATGCCGGCATTGCCCGCAAGAACGAAAAGGGCGAGACCTACATCACCAACGCTCCCACCGAAGCTGCTTGGGTGAAGATGCGCAGTATTACCGAGCAGGCTGCCCTCGATGAGTTCCTCAGTACCGCCGAACTGGCCGGCACCGATTTCACCGCCGAGAAGATGAACAACGTCAAGATCATCCACACCGACCAGAAGAACCCCTACCTGCTGTCCGCTGCCGAAGAGAAGTCCGCCGTGAAGAAGCACAAGCAGAACAAGAACCGTCTCACCGTTCCCCGTCGGCCCAAGTGGGACCAGTCCACCACCCGTCAGCAACTGGAGCTGATGGAGCGCGAGAGTTTCCTGAACTGGCGTCGTGGCCTGGCCGAGTTGCAGGAGAACCAGGATCTGTTGATGACTCCTTTCGAGCGCAACTTGGAGGTCTGGCGCCAGCTGTGGCGTGTTATTGAACGTTCCGATTTGGTGGTCCAGATTGTCGATGCCCGTAACCCGCTGCTCTACCGCTCTGAGGATCTGGAAAGCTACGTCAAGGAGATCGACCCCAAGAAGCAAAACCTGCTGCTTGTCAACAAGGCCGACATGCTGACTGAGGCCCAACGTGCCATGTGGGCTGACCACTTTGAGCGCCAGAACATCAGCTTCCGTTTCTTCTCCGCCCATCTGGCCAAGGAGCGCAACGAACGCCTCCAGCAGGGTCTCGATTCGGAGGACGAAAGCGAAGAGGACATTCCCGAGGAGGAGCAGTTGGCTGAGGGTGCCAAGTCTCTGGACATTAAGGACGGCGAAGAGCCTCAAGAAGAGCACGACGGTGGTCTTGAACTCAACCCCAGCGCCAGCTCCAGCTCTTCCCGACGCACAGAGATTCTTGACGTCGAAGAACTGGAAGAGCTCTTCCTTTCCAATACCCCCGAAACTCTTCCCGACAACGACTCGCCCGAGGGGCCGGTCAAGAAGAAGACGACCATCGGTCTGGTCGGATACCCCAACGTCGGTAAATCCAGCACGATCAACGCCCTGCTCGGTGCCAAGAAGGTCTCCGTTTCCGCCACCCCCGGTAAGACCAAGCACTTCCAGACTCTTTACCTGTCTCCCGAGATCATGCTTTGCGATTGTCCCGGTCTCGTCTTCCCCAACTTTGCCACCACCAAGGCTGAGCTGGTCGTCAACGGTGTGCTCCCCATCGACCAGCAGCGCGAGTTTACCGGCCCGGCCGCCCTCGTCGCCCAACGCATCCCCAAGCACTTTGTCGAGAACGTCTACGGCGTGAAGATCAACACCCGCCCCATCGAAGAAGGAGGGACTGGCATCCCCACTTCCCACGAACTTCTCCGCGCCTATGCCCGCGCCCGTGGTTTCGCCACCACCGGCCAGGGTCAGCCCGACGAGTCGCGCGCGGCTCGTTACATCCTCAAGGACTACGTCAACGGCAAGCTCCTCTTCTGCCACCCGCCGCCCACGCCCGAAGGCTCCGACCCCATTGACCCTATTGAATTCAACAAAGACCTCTACGACATGGCCCACCTGCCGGCCCGGCGACAAGCGCAACTCGCCAAAATGCTCCAGAACGAGGAGGTCACAGACCCGGAACTGCTCGCTCTCCTCAAGCCGGTCGAGAAGGGCGCGCGATCCCGCAACCTCGATTCGGGTTTTTTCGGCCCCGGCGCCAAGTCCTCCACCGGCCGTCTCACCCTTCCTTTCAATGCCCAGTACACGGAGCAGGGCCAGGAGATGCGCAAGCAGCTGACAGGTCGTAAGGAGCGCATGATGGTTGCTCTGGAGCGCGGAGTCGATGTATCGGAGGTGAAGAGCGGTTCGTCGAAGAAGCATTTCAAGGCGAATAAGCGGCGGGCTAAGAAGGTGCGCAAGAATGCGGCGGATGAGGATTATTAGCAGCTGCTCGCGGGCGAGTCTATATCCAGGTTTTCTAGTTTTTTTCTGTTCGTTTGATAAGGTTTGGATGGGAAAAGTTTAGGTTGCATTACACGATGACTATGGGATTAGTTATGGCGTACTTAAACTTGATTTAGTACGTGGACAGGGAGGGATAGAGGCAAGGAGGGAGATGATGACGTTTCGTATATCCATTTATGTTATTTAGAGCAGTCCTATATCGGGACGGTGCATGATGAATATGATTCATGAGATTTTGCATGCAAATCAACATACTATCCTATACCACTCTCACCCACATTCACCCATAGATTCAAGAACTTCTTACAACCGACTCCTTCCCCCAGCAGTAACACCCAACAACTTCTCCGTCTCCTCCGCCTGCCACTTCAACTTCCTCCTCACCTCCTCCTTCCGACTCTTATTCTCCCTCCTGCCCATCTGCAACAAATGCACCTCATCGGGCCCATCCGCAATCCTCAACGTCCGCACCCAAGCCCACATATACGCCAACGGCGTATCCTGACACACGCCCATAGCGCCATACGCCTGCACCGCACGATCAATAACCCCGCACGCCATACTCGGCACCATGACCTTCGCCTGCGCAATCTCCTTCAACGCGCTCTTCGCATCCCCCTGATCGATCTTAATCGCCGCGTTCAACACAATCAACCGCGCAGCATCAATCTCAATCCGTGACTTGGCTACCCACTCCAGAATCACCCCGTGCGAGGAGAGGCTCTGTCCGAAGGGCTTCTTGCGTTCGTCGTTGATGCGCGCGATCATCCATTCGAGGGCCTTTTCGGCCGCTCCGATGGTGCGCATGGCGTGGTGGATGCGGCCGGGGCCGAGTCGGCCTTGGATGATTTCGAAGCCGCGGCCTTCGCCGAGGACGATGTTGGAGACGGGCACGCGCACGTTCTTGAATGTGATGTGGCCGTGGCCGTGCGGCGCGTCGTCGTACCCGTAGACGGTAAGCATGCGGTGGACGGTGATGCCGGGGGTGTTGTGTGCTGGGACGAGGATCACGGATTGTTGTTTGTAGGGGTCTGGGTTCGTGGGGTCTGTCTTGCCCATTACCAGGTAGATGGCGCAGCGGGGGTCTCCGGCGCCGGAGGACCACCATTTCTAAACACCAGCATTAGTATATATATCATGTATACTCGGAGAGTATATAGTAATGCAGAGAAGGTAGGAAGTGAAAGAGAGGGAGCGAGTGAGACATACAGATCCATTCAAAACCCACTCATCGCCCTCCCTCTTAATATCCAACTGAATATTAGTAGCATCACTGCTCGCGACCTCCGGCTCCGTCATGAGGAAGGCAGACCGGATCTTGCCCTCAAGCAGCGGCTCCAACCACTGCTTTTTCTGCTGCTCGTTGCCGTACTTCGCCAGGACTTCCATGTTGCCTGTGTCCGGGGCGGCGTTGTTCGTCGCCTCTGATGCAATCGTGCTCTTGCCCAGGTACTCTGCCATCAGTCCGTACTCGAGGTTGCTGAACCCGGCCCCTTGCGCGAAGTGGTTCTTGGGCAGGAACATGTTCCAGAGACCTTGTTCGCGCGCCTTCTGTTTCAGGGTCTCCATGATGGCTGGGTAGGTCGACCAGCGTTGGGAGCCGGTGCCCAGTTGGGCGCGGAAGATGGCTTCAGAGGGGATACATTCTTTTTCGACGAATTGTTCGACCTATACATTATTAATATTGTGTTTGGTTGGGGGTGGTGGATGGGGGGTGTGGGGGATGTAGCTGTGGGAAGGAGGTATGGGGAGGTAATACTTGGTCAAGGGTACGCTTGGCCCGGTCGCTGACGAAGGGTTGAGCGATGACGGGGATGCGGGTGGAGGCTGACATGATAGACTACTGTGGATACTAGAATTAATTGATTGGAAGTATGATGATATGATTAAAAAAGAAACTGGAGGTGAAATAGGGAGGATGGGGTTATAAGCTGAGGAAGTAATGCGGAGTATCGAGGTTGCGGAGAAGCAGCCGACCGAACCTCGGCTGATCGGCCGATGAGTCAGCAACAGCACATTCACGCATTGCATTCATTAACCATCCATAGTTATCAATATGAAGAAGAAGTTATCAATCAACTGATTGATGTGACAATAGAGCAGTAAGAAGTAAAGCGTAAGAAAAGAAAAAGAAAAGAAAAGCATAAAGCATGGCCGAATCCCATATCGAGCCCTGATTTTCTCATAAACCCAATCAATCCAAACCGAACCAACAAACACCACAACCGACCCAGAGCAAACCAATGCAAACTAAGAAAAACAACAGAAGCAATCAATCACCCCGGTTACTGGATCATCAACAATCGGAGTACTGCGACCGGCGCAAACACCGAAAGACGTATCCTTTTTCACCCGGAGACGATCTAATCAATCATGCCTCGGTGTTTTCTTTCTGGGCCGACGACTGCTGTTCGAAATTCTTCTTGCCGAGCTTGGCGAAGAGGGACTGGGGTTTGCCGGCACTACACACACCCCAACATTAGCATCAATCGATTTATATTGTATACAAGGAGATAGGAGCATACTTCTTAAACCGCTTGCCCTTCAAATCACTCAACTTCTTGGAGCACGGACTCATGATATCATCCGAGGGAGAGACGTAGCTTGCTTGGTTCCTTTACAACAGTCAATATCCGTACACACATGCACATCTACAGGGAGATAGTGGTACTCACTTATCGCCATTCTCCAACTTGCCCTGCAGCACCTGACGATGATATTCCATCGAGTTGATCTTGGCGGGGGCGGCCTTGAGCTCGTTCAACTTGTCCGTGTCTTGGACGAGGTGGGTGTTGGTGCGGTCGGTGAGGGGGTGGGAGTCCATTTTGGTTATTTCCTTTGGTTTCAGAAGATTTTTCTGATGAGAGAGGTATTTGATGCTTTTGAGACTGGAGAGACTGAGAGGTAGTACTTAGTAGACTTGCAGTGTGGAGGAAAGTCAGTGGAAGGCAGTGGGAGGGAAGAGGATAAGAATCGAAGGCAAGAAAAACCCGTCGATTGTTGTCATGGCAACCACCATCATTACCACTGCCCGAAGATGTCATTCATTGTCCATTACTTGAATTAACCACCGGAGGTATCTAACTAATAAAAATGTCCATTCAATAAACACTGTTAATGGTCATGGGTATATACATCGTCTCATCATGTCGCGTAGCTGTACTCCGTACTCCTCTACAATATGTGTACATACAAACATACATATTCCCTGCATCTCTCCTGCACTCTATCCGGTGTCACCAGCTGCCGCCGTGACCAGCAACACATTTACACTTCCCCCAGGAATGACAGCCGGCTAGCCACTCAGCCAGATAAGCTCGTCTGCAGCTGTTGGCCTGGAAACACGCGGCCGAGACATCGCCACCGCGCTGAATCCTGCAGCCAGACTGCAACCTGGTCTGTCATGTCGGGTTCCACATGCCACGACCATCCCCCATCACTACTAGGCCTCGGCCACCGCGGCATTCCGTCCGTGAGACACGGGTGAATCGCCCGAGCTAGATGATTCCTCAATGGACTCCTCGCCTCCCTTGAGGTCAGGCGGACTACTGCGCGATCGGACTGGTGGCGCCACCTCCGGCAGTGCCAGCGAATTCCCCCTCTGGTTCTCCGCTTCTTCCGACGAGCTCATCACGTCCGAGACTGGCGTCGGTGGAGAGTATGCCAGCGTGGGACTAATCGGTCCATCTTCCTGCGAATCCTCAGACAGGTTGCGTCGGTGACCGCCCGCGCGCCGACCCGACGATGTCGGGCTGACGGACGGCGATCCAAACGGAGGTGACGACGACCGCAGACTGTACGACCGCGACACCATGTTCTGCATGCTGGGCAACTCGATGTAGCTGCTGACGGCACCACGTGAAAAGAGCACCAGTCCAAAGCAGAAGAGGATCATGATGCTCTGGATGACGGCCACCCGCTTCTGGAAGACCAGTTCGTCGGCAAGGACGCCCAGCTGCGCGCTCAGCGAATGCACCTCTTGATGGTACTGGATGCGCTGGTGCTCAAACTCAAGCGCCACGCTCTTCCAAACGTTATCGTACTGCTCGCGGAATTGCTTCAATTCATGAAGCACCGTCACGTTCAGCTGCTCCAGGAACGTGGACGTCTTGGCCAGCTGCCGTTTCTCAACTTTATTGAATGCGTCACGCAATATCCGCGACTGCTCTTCGATGTACAGTAAGGATAAACTGGAGTTGGATTCCAGCATTTGTAGTCGCTTATTCACAGACTTGAAGAATGACTCTTGCGTAGTCGGGTTCGCAGAAGGAGGCTGTGTCGCTGTTGACCGCGTCGTCTCCGCGGCGACGCTTTGCTCCTCCTTAGTGAAGCCAGTAGACCGGCTATCGGCTTCACCTTGTGATGTAGTCTCTGGACCAGCCGTGGTAGCAGACGAAGGGGCCGAGTCAACATTCGGGCTAACAGTCATTTTCTGCTCCCCTGCCTCCTTGACCGGAGCTTCGGTTCCAAGAGGCGCAGCGTCGTCGCCCTTGGGAGGAGTAGCATCAGTAGCTGACGGGCGATTGAGAGACGCCTGTGTCCCTTCATCCCCAGCAGCTGGCGAATCATGAATACTACAGGTCCAAGGAACCCCCCAAAGCTGCATCATGACCGCCTCATCAACAACCGGTCCGGGGTTAGGGCAAGTCTCCGGCGTCTGCTCGTCCACCTTCTGCTCAATCGGGCCTGCTGCCGCTGCAACATCCACCGTAGGGATCGTCTCTATCTCAGCAGCCACCGGCGCAGGCTCAAGCTCTTCATCGGCCACCACATCGTCTGTCCGACTAACCTCACCATCATGTTTATACTCCTCCAACATCGTCGTCCCATGCACGCGAATCAAACTGAGCGGACAAAAGAACTCATTCCCATAATGCGTGAGAAACTCAATCTTGACATACCGCGCCCAGATAAGAGGATTCTCCACGGCAAACGCCTGAACCTCCCGCGTATTCCTCGCCTCGTAGACACCCAGCTCGCGCCACTGGTCCAATTTCGCCGGATACCGATCCGACACGCTGACGCGAAAGGTATGGAAGATGGAGCTAAAAAACTCATAGTTGGCCAACACCACCGTATCGACCAGGATATCATCGCACAGCTCCAGAATCAAGAACTTGTTGTTGGCCCGACACTCATTGAGCATATAGCTATCCTTATTCTCAATCAACACCGACGACGACCCCGTACACTCCGGATTCGTCTTCAGCACCGTCGCGGCGCAATCAAACGATGCATAGTTGAACCTTTCTTTACACGTGGTGCCCGCATCTTTCGACCGCGATACACCCCCAGCCGGCGGCACACCATGCGCCAGGGAATCAACATCCCCAGCAGAACCCGCCTCTCCACCAGTAACCCCAGTCGACACACGCGCACCCCAAGATGTCGGCTTCGCTGCCTCAGGCGTATCAGCCCCAAAGCCACCGAAATCCAACTCAATTTCGACATCCTCGCCCAGCGAATCCAACGCATTATTTATCCCCGTCGGACGCCGCCGCCCTTCCTTCCCAGCAGCAGCAGCAGCAGCAGCAGCGCCGCGCCCGCCGACATTCTCCGCCGACTGGCCAACCTTCGCCAGATTCTGCTTCTTCCAATCCTCGAATGACAGGAAATTCGCATTATCGAGCGGCGACTCGGTATCAAGCTCGTGATCGGGCCGTGCGCTGCTCTCGGACGAAGCCATGGAAACAGACACGGCGGAGAGCGTCTCCTCGGGCGCTTTCAGCAACGGTTGTTGTTCTGCGGGGATAGGAGTAGCCGGCTCCGCTTCCCATCGCGTCTCAGGACACTGGGGCCACTGGATGAACTCGGCCTCAGCGACTTGCCAGCGCGGGGCGGGACATATCGTCTGACTGGGGTCTGCGGTTGTGCCGTCAATCCAGGTGGAGATTAGAGTCATCCAGGGAATCCACTGTGAGGCTGTCCAGCTGGTCATTTTGACCGTGTCGCAATGCGACTTTTTCTCTTTCTGTCTGTCTTCCGGACAAGTAGCAGGTAAGGTAGGATAAGAGGTCGATATGATTATGTATTTCTGGCAAGATTCATTGCGCTATGTACTGTAGGGACTGATGTGTGTGTGTATGGGTATGTAAAATGCTATTATAGACTGAGGGGAGACGGAGCGAACAGAGTTCAAGTTGGTTGGTTAGTTAGCTCCTTATCAGTACCGGCGCGCCCCTTCAGGGGATCGTAAGTAGTCAGACGGATCAGCAAGAAGACCCAAGGATAAAAGGGTGTAACAAACCCGAGAAAGTAAAGGAGGTCAGCAAAGTAGGTAGTACACGTCGCGCAAGAGGCCACACGCCAGAAACACCGCCTCTTTGCTCACCGGGTGTGAGATGGCGTTGTCGCGCGAGGATAGATTGAGGGTGTCTGGCTGTCTTTCTCCATTCTTTCCCGCGGCGGTCTGGAACGGAGGCCTGCCACCGCCTTCTCTCCCGCCACTGGGACTAACCACTAACTACTAGTACTAGGCTATACTTATACTAGACTATCTGGGTAGTTGATGGGACAAACCTACGGTGTAGAGCCCGTGAGTCACACCAGGACAGCTGGCAATCTACATTGACCTGATTTACAAATGAAGATGGGGAGATACCCAGTCTACAATATACACTACGCAGGCAAATTAAAGTCAATCCACATCGAATCATAGTAGATTCCTCTGGCTATCCCCAGTATCCTCGTATCACTCTCACCATACCAGCTAGTTACAGTACAAAGAAACCAGTCCTGCGCCTGGTCGGCACAGTCGCCTCAAGATGTGGATGAATGGCCATAGTAGTCTTGCTTTTCCATGACTTTCTTTTTTTTCATTGTTATCTTCGTAGATTCCTGGTGGCCTCCGGGCCACCCGCCATCGTCCTCCGCCTGCCTCGTCGTCCAGGCCCCCGTCAAGTTGAACCATTTTCTTTTTGGGTAGGAAAAGTTGAAAGGATGACATTGTGCAAAGAATGGAAAGGGTGAAGAGAAGAAGAGAAACAAAATCACACCCTCCACAAAACAATCCCTCCCAAATCCAGCAGATGAGTCACTTTTCGACCGCCCATCCCCATGCTTGCTCCTTCGAAGAGTGCTATATTATACAGGATAGGAATCAAAACACTAGCACCTCCGACGTGAGAGGCTTGCCGAATACAAACAATCTATCGTAACGGTAGAGAAGAAGAGGGGATAATAAAATATTGAATATAAGGCTGCCGGATGCACCCAACGCGGGTGCATCTAAGCCGAGTGGAGAGAGACGCTTCAAAATCGATCAAAAAAAAGAGAAAAGAAGAAAACAAGCCGGAGAAGTTTGGTTGTCGGAAGATAAAAGTTGTTTGGAATTTGCCACTCTTGTCAGGGTAATTTGGTCGGTACAACGAACAGGAATCGGATTAGAGCAGAGCGGGAACAAAGGCAGGAGGCATGATTCTTAAAGGTGGAGATCATGCCAGCCACCAACAAGGTCGAGATCCTCATCGATACTGCCATCGTAGTGATGAGGAACCTTCACGTTGGCAGCCTTCGGTGACTCCCAGGCATCGCGACGCCGTCCCTTCTCCTGGAAGGGGCGTCGGCGGCGATCGTGGAAGGAAGACTCCTCCTTCTTGGCGGCCCAAGAGCCATAGTCGAAGCCGGAAGATCCCAAGCCCCAGTCCTTCCTCCAACTCATGTTGAGAGGGAACTTCTTGCGTCCAAGTGAAGCCTCAGGAGACTTGTAGTTCCTCCTCCGGTCACCCAGGGCAGCCCATTTGTCCATGTTGGAGTTCTTCGGGGGACTGTCCGGAGTGCGAGGGGGAGTCTTGAGGCCAGTGGGGGCCGTAGGAATATTCCAAGACTTCCCGGGGGTCTCATCGGATGGCACCGAAGGCTTGGGTTGCTGAGCGCGAACGTTGAGCATAGAAGGAGTCACAGAATCCCGAAGGCCCGTCAGCGGGCCGCAGAGCTCAGGAACGTTGCCCTCGACAGGGCTGCTGCTTTCGTGGCTCCAGCTACGGGAGTTCTGCTCGCGCCGCTGCTGGAAAGCCAGGTCTTCGGTCTCGGATTCCTCCTCCTCATCCCACAGATCACTCCAGCTCTTGGAGATCTGCTCGTCCTTCTTCTTACCAAAGACCATGGAAAGAGAAGGCAAAGGTTTGGTGGTGGGAAGTGATCCGGTGATGGGCACCGGATCCGACGGTGGGGGGAAACGCAGCTCATTCTTGCGGAAAGCAGTCGGCCGGAACGAATCTCCAAGAGCAGATTCCAGAACAGATGCCATGGAGGGAGTGCCCTGGTGAACGGAGAACCACGATGTGCCAGCAGTCTCCGAAGGAGGGAAGAGATCCTCCGAGTAGCTCTCGTTGTCGGGAATGGCCGACAGCTGCCGAATCTGCTGAGGGGGGCTGGCCTGGAGGGCTTTGGCCCATGGGAAAGAATCGCCCTGGTTGATGTGCGGGCTCTGGATGGAAGGTGTTCGGAGAGGCTCGCGGTTGGCACTTGCGGGAACGACCTCGCGGTCATCGGTGCAGAACTCATCCAATGCTTCGTCATCGGTAGTGAAGGAGACAGTCCGCATAATGGAATCACGGATACCAGAAAGGGAACGCTTCTCGGGGTCGATAGCCAAAGCAAATCTCAGGATCTCAAAGGTATCCTGGGACATGTTGGGGAAAATGTCGAAGAGTGATTGGCGGTCGCGGACATAGTCCGCGAAGAGGATATCGGATTCGGTGGGGGTAGCGAAGGGGTTCCGCGCGAAGAGAACGTTGAGCAGGCAAATACCAACCGCCCAGATATCGGCCTTGGCAGGAGAGTAGCCAGAGCTCGAAGGGTCGTACTGCTCCGGAGCCATGTAGCGGTCACTTCCAACGCATGCCTCATGACTCCAGGTATCCCGGGTCGCCAAACCCAAGTCACCCAGCTTCATGGATCCATCCTGCATCAAGAAGATGTTCTCTGGCTTGATATCACGGTGGTACATGCCATTGGCGTGCATGAACTCGACAGCGCTGACCAGCTGCAACATGAAATCACGCACGTGCTCCGTCTCCAAGGGGCCACGGTTGAGCCTGATGGCCTCATACAGATCGCCGTTGGAACAGTACTCCAAAACGAGGTACATGTGAGCATCTGTTTCGAACGAATGGATGAGGTTGACGATGTTGGGGTGGTAGGCAAGGCGTCGGTGGCAGTCGAGCTCTTCGAAACGAGCATCATACGGCGAGGCACCACCCTTGGTCAGGCACTTGATAGCAACGTCCTGGCCGGTCTTGTTGTCGGTAGCAAGGAAGACCATGCCAAATGAACCATGGTTCAGAGGGGCGACGGTTCGAAAGCGCCCATCAAGGAGCTGACCCTCCACAAAGCTGTTCTTCAGGCACTCCATATCTGATATATACTCGAACTAGACGATATTCTCCCAGAGATGTTCGTTCCAGTGGTTTATAGCAGGCGATGGATGTCACAAGGCGGATGCAAGAATAATTCAAACAGCCAGACAACCAAGACGGTCAAATGCCAAGCAGATCTCGACACCGAGAATAGAAGTAAAAAGATGAAGAGCGAGAATAAAGTAGAAAGAAGACAAGAAACCAACCGGCTTGTTGAGTCACAGTTTCATATAAATACCGGGAAGAGAGGATATGGAGACAAACGAAAAGAAAATGATGACGACGAGTAGGCGCGAAGCGCAGTGCAGATACCCTTAGGAGAAGGGTGATTGACGACGGCTAGGAAATAGAAAAGACTGTTATGAGTGCATCTGTATATCGTTTCACAAGTGTAGAGGCGCGAAGCCCGAGGAACGGAAGTATGTCGAGAGAAAGAATGTGTCGAAGTGAATGACTATGTCCGGCAATGGGACACCAAATGGAAGGACCAAGGGAGAATAACGCTGCGTAATATCGTGACTTGAACACCAAATGTATAAACAAACAAGGCTCGTAACTGAAAAGGCCTTCGAACACCAGGCTGAAGGGCCGGAGAGGGGTCGTGACTCAAAGGGGAGGGGAAGTGATCGAGGACGGGACCGACGGCTATAAGGTCATAAGTCGCCCGATGATATATAGTCCGGAGATTTGAGAAGAGGAACTATATAGGAGGTATAGCGGGGCTTTGGACAACTGGTATGATGGATCTTCAGGCCCGTAGGTGAACGAGATGAAGAACCGAATACCAGCACCCGGCCCAGGTTGCGCGGCGGACGGATGGACAACTAAGCAGAAGTTGACCTCACAGTAGACGCAGAACCCTCAACACGTATCTCTGCAATTGAAACGTAGCACGCGGCTTTGAGACGGTTGGTTTGAGGGAAGGACTCGTGGGTCCGAGGAACTCTCGACGTGGTTGGCTTGAGATGAGTCACGCAGGGTGTTCGGAAGGCCAGGCAGGAAGACAGCGGCGAGGCAGATTAGACCGTAGAGGACAGGACAAGTACACTGTTCTGAAGTAGATCTGGTGGGGAAGACTTTGGCAATGTGACCTAATCAGAGGATTGCAGGCAGTACTATATCGTGTCGCGATAGAGGTGGTGAGGCGAAGAGGAAGGTGATGGGGTGGCGATAGTTGATGATTGGGTTGGGTTGGCAGGCTGATTGGGAAAGCGCGGATGTAGGAAGGAGCAATGGATTGGTAGCTGGGACGCTGGAACGAAGAGATGAAGGATGGAGGATAGGAAGGAAGAAGGGGAAGCGAAGAGTAGGAGAGAGAGAGAAAGGAGGAGAAGAAGATGGAGAGAGAGAGAAGAGGAAGGTGAGTGTAGGTGAGTAGGAAGGTGAGGTGGAGGATGGAGGATGGATGAGCAAGAGGAGAGCGAGCGATAGGGATAAGGAGGTTCCGGATGATAGCAGTTGGGATCAGATGGGGTTTAGGTAGGTACGGTAATTCGTAAAAGTACGGGGGGGAGGAGGGAGGGAGGGTGACGACTGGACTCTATGCCCTTCCATACTAGTAAGTATTTCCTCATATTCCTAGGCACGGCTAGTCGGATGGGGGGCGACACTCGGAACCTTGGGGGAGGGAAAGGGAAACAAACCCACTCAACCTGCAGCGATGGCGAGAAAGTGGGCGAACGAGCGAGAACCTCCTACGTCGCCTTGGTTCCAGGGTGGGTGGCCTGCTGGCCAATCACGGGTGTTTATTACGGTATTCATGCATACTCCAGACTCCCCAATCGGGCCAAGTGCCTGTGAGGATGGTACCCGGCAACCCCCATTTCCCTCGTGGTCAGTGGTAACAATACTGTACGTGCGATCTTCCGGCCGACCCACTTGACTGGCGGCAGGTCGAGAAAAAGAGGCCGCATCCGGCCATCGACTCCACACCCTCTTTCTGCGCCCCCCTGAATGACTGTTTTCCCTTCCCTTCCCTTTTCCTCTCGCCAGAAGAATCCGCGCGGCGGTGATTCAGCATTGCCTGTCCTGGCAAGTATCCATACCCGCAGCGTCATGGAAAAGCCGACCCTTTTGGCGGTACCAACTTTGGTTGACTTGGTTGACTCAATTAAGTCGTGTCTCCGAATTTCCCCCCTCTCTTTTCTCTCTCCAAATTATGGTCATCCAGTTACAGGGCATCAGAGTCAATCAATAATACAACAGTAATAATAATAATAATAATAATGAAAATAAAAATTCCCAGTTATTTACGGATATTACTATCTATGGATGGTTGAGCACGGAAATCACTGCCTCCGAGAAGCCGTTAATGGGCTCCAAGTAATGTTTCAGTAGCGTTCCAGTCATTGATTACGAAGGCGTTATTCTCCTGGCTGCCTATCAATCACCTCAGCAGCCAGAACATTCCTCCACTTTTCCGCTGTCTCCCTTTGAGTCATCCCCTGCCATTGTTGCCGGGTCGTCTCAATTCCATTACTGCTTTTTCTAAATAGTGATACTGTCATTTGGCATTTTAATGACGAGATTTGTTGCAATTGCAAAATGACGGGCTGGGAGGCAGGTGTCATTTGAATGCGTCAATTCCCCGAGGCATTTTTCTTTTCATATTTTTTGTTTTTTTAGCTTGTTGGGGAAATGTATTATGTAGTAGGTGCCGCAAACCCCCAGACTCAGGTACATGTAACCTGTCCTGATTGCGGCCAGCTTGCCAACACCAACGGCTGCTGACTGTAATTAATCAATCACTAACTTTGAACTAATTGATGTAAATTGTTGATGACCATTAGATAAACAAAAGTTAATATATATTCATAACTCTTCAATTGGTGCAGTAGAATAAAAGTTCAAGTTAAGCGCCGGTTTAGAGTTACCTCCCAAGCAAAGACGGCGTGAGTAGACTACAGCCTGAGCAGGGGACATGGAAGATACGCCCTGGGCACCAAGGCAGCACCAAGTCAACCGGCTAAGCTAAGTTCCTGCAGGTCCCGGCAGGGTCTCCCCCCTCTTCCCCCCCCATCCGAGCGAGCTATGCTATCTCCCTATCTTCATCGTCACTTATCATCATCCATCTTGCTATGTTCCCTGATAGATGGATACAATCAAAATCTTCCGGGTGATAACCCCATGACTCTCCCCCCAAGTCAAACCTTACAAACAATTGACAATGAAGGAATAATGCATTCGAGGTATAACTAACTATTTCCGTTGAGCCCAGTTCGTCATATAACACAACAAGGGGGCGGCGGTTTTCGTAATACCCATCATCATCATAACCATCGTCTTCATCATCAATCCGATGGTAAGGTAATGATCACCGACTGGCCCGCTCTCCTTCCCCTCTTCCCTCCCCAACCAGACCAGATCAGATCGATCCTAAATCCGTCCGTCTAACAGTAAAACGGGAAAAGAGCACCACCCCACCAGAAATCGGTGACGATGGAGACACACTTGAACACGCGATGATTGCACCTAGACTACGTATCGCTATCATGTTTCCATTTTCAGAGCATTTCCACTCTCCCCAGTCCTCGGCCGATGCAGACGGCGGGAACAAATCCAATCAAGAGTGGCACTTGGCATTATGACTAAGTAAAGTAAAGTAACGAATACGGATCCATACTGGTCTAGTCCCTATCCGGGGGGTGCCTGGAGTTGGCGGGCGACCACCTGAGTGACGCTACAGTGGATCCCTCAGAACCCAATCACACGGAAGCCCCGTTGGCCACTATTTCCAGGCTGCATGACGCCAGCCCCAAGCAAGCAACGACTGGCGCGAAGTCGTGGCCAATAATTGACCATTCGTTTGGGTCGGCTGTTCTGAAAAAAGGCCCGGGAGGATGATCCCGGACCTTCGTCAACTGTGACACAGTAGACTAGTAGGGAGTAATATGGGGAAAGAAGCTGTTGTCGGTAGATACGGATATTGCTGCGCGCCGATCATCAGAGGAGACTACTACTACTTAGACTAGAGCCTAGGTTCCGAGAGTTAGCCGTAGATACAGAGTACTACTGAAGATGCTCAGGTATCACCGATCATACGAGAGATATAATATGACTGGATACTTTTCTCTTACTTTTTATCCGCATGGACAAGTAAGAAAGTAAGAAAAATATCTACCCGACGAGGTAGTAAACCAAGTAAGCCAGTAAGTACCTAAAATCAATCTGAGTAAGAGTTAGTAAGTACCTAAAATGCTCAGCACCGCTTCAGGTACCTTTTCCCAACCCAAGAGTTGGTACCTAAGGTTCAGTGTAAGAAAGGCAGTTGAGTCAGTTCACAACTGCAAAGTTTGGTGTGTGTGGTTCGGTCCAGGCCAGCCAGATAACCCAGGGAAACCAACCCCTTTGAATCAATCAATCAATCAACAACGTCAATTGTTGTTGCACAAAACCTGCGTGATCCACGTTGATCCTGTTTACCGCGCGGGATTTCCTTCAACTCGCCCATCATCTGTAACAGGATTTGCGGGGTTAAACGGGTGGGAGGGATATTACGTCTCAGACAGACAGACAGACTCCTGGGCCAACTTTTAATCTGGCAATCGTATCGTACTATCGATCGGGGTGGAGACTTTGGTTTCTTTTTTTTTTTGTTTTTCCTTTCCTTTATTTTTGCTTTGGAAGTATGGAGTAATGAGTGAACATATGACAGGAGGTATGTAGCAGAGTATGTTAATCTGCTCAGTGTTCGTTTCGGGTTGTACTATCGGCAAGATCATAGTTATCCTCCGTTATGGTACTTTTACTTCTTAGTTACTATCTAATAACTACTGTGTACAGTAAGTAGGTAGTTGTGGATAAGGTGTGTACAATTGGAACGAGGTGAATGGATGGAAATATCCCTCTTCGTACATACATACATAACGGAGATACAGGCTCGGAGACTAAATGATGAAATCGAGTAAAGATAATAAAAAGTTAAAATAAATAAACAAATAACTATAATCAATAACATGGTGCCTGCTAAGTGCGACTCAAACAGCCAACACAAAAACACTGGCAAAGCAACGGCAAGCACTGGCAGCGCCCCGTGGCTGGCAACTTTCTTTCCGGGGCTGCATGAGCAAAGCGATGCTGGCGGTGAAGGACGAAGGTGCATTAGTGCCAGACTGACCGCCTCCCGAGCAAGTGTCGGGAAGGTTTCGTCCTTGCAGCTGGCAAAGAGTTGCGTGTCTCGATCATGCAGGCTTGCCTGTCTCCGACACGCCGATGGGCAGCAGCAGTAGGCAGGCAGCCAAGGGACGATGAGGTGGTCACCCTCAAAAGAAAGAAGTACAACGAAAAACCAAGGACCTCAGGCATACGTGGATGGGCCTTTCCTTCTGACTAAGGAATTCTTTTCCCATTAAGTTCCCGCTATTCATTCTGCCAGGTGGCTGTTTTGCACGCATCACGCGATAAGCCCCCAAGCAAGACTTGCCAGGCCACCACACCACCACCAACACCACCACCTCATCATCCATCATCCATCATCCTTCTCGGTTCCTTTGGATCTCTGATGGTGGCTGACACAGCTCTTCGTATGAGAGAATAGTCTAAATCTTCCATGAGATTCCATCTGGTTCCATTTCTGCCCCAGGAATCCGAATGACCTAAATCCCAGCCCAGCCCAGTCCAGTCCCATACTTACTGTACAAAGTATTTACTTTTAGCCTCTCAGGTGATCCAGGTCACCTGGCTCTCTCCTCTCTCTCCCTTCTCTCACGCCATCCCCAAGGTTTCCCGCTAACATTCATTTCTCCCATGGAACCGGGATAGCGTGACCCAGTGGAAGAAATGGATAATCCTGACTGCCTGGAACTTGCCAAATTTCTCAACAATGACTAGGTTCATGGAAACCCCGAGTGCTGAACCTTAGATACTGCCTGCTCTGGTCTGTTCTCCCCTTATCGGGATGATTATCTGCCGAATGGAACAGGGCGGTGCTGATGGCTGGAACACCCTATCGTGGTTGTTCTGGGCGGGCGCGGTGTGTATCGGTGGAACCTGGGATAAGGAGCCAGTCAGGGAGGAGAGGAAGGTTGGAAACGGTTATCTAGTACCAGGATTTGGGATGGAGGATGTTGCACCATTGGAGATGATAGTCTCATCATTATGTAGAATGGTATCTATCCTTATCTCTATGCTTGTGGTCTACTTAGTTACTGCAGTAGTATACAGACATCTACAGATACAGACACAGACACAATGTCTAACAAAACAATCATAAACAAAATAGTATGAGACCAGTCAGTCCCAGGCAGGACATATCTCATTTCCACCAGATAGATTACAAGAAATCATAGTATATATCCATATATCCGTAGTACCAAGTAACCCCGTATCACTCCTATCGGCAGATAACCCATTGGCATCCGATCAATCAAATCACCATCCACCATCCACCATCATTGCCATCATCATCATCATCAAACCCCAACTACCCCAACCCCAACCAGCATCGAACACAGCATAACCCATCCCATCCATAATCCATGAGCACGCGACACAAGAGAACATCACCCCATACGGAAGTGATTCGATCGCCACCACCTCTCCCAGCCTATCCCAACCTCCCCCCAGACAGATAATCAAATAGATAAAACAGATAAACCTACTAGTGGCACCTTTACCCCGCACGATCAACAAAAGTGCCACAAGTCCAATTCGCAATCATACTACTTACTATCTATTACTAGTACCTAGACCAGCCACTTAATTAGACTTTCTGTCATCGCTATCAGTTGCCATTCTATCCATTTAACAGAATAGGAAAGGAAAAAAAAGCAATTCCGATTTGTGAGAGGAGATGTGAAACTCTCCTCCGACTAATGGGATTTAAGGTCGTTGTTCCGCGCTTAGAGGGGAAATGGGATTGGATACTACTACCTTGTTCTACTACTAGCTAATACTAGTTACTGTTTTAAAACTATTTACTAGGATAACTAGTTAGTGAAAGAGAAAGAACCGTTCAAACGAACATAACTGAAACGAAATGGAATGGAATAGGATGGATGGAATTACCCCAGATTCAAGAACTACTACTTACTGCATTTCGGGATAAAGTTCGGAGGACGACGAAACTTGAACTCCTTACTTCCTACCGTCTGGATCTGAACCACAACCAGAACTGGGGATGGGGATGGGGAAGGATCGCCGTTGAGAACGGAAAAGAGGATCCGAAGACTCAATATTGAGAAAGAGTGGATTGTGGTTTTGTTCTAGTTGGTTACCTGGATAAGAACTGACACAAAGACTGACTAACTAAGTCAGTAGATGATTCATCTACGTATGTCTGGGGTAACTCCATACTCCATCTACTATTCAGTATGAAAGATACTTCACTATTATTCTCAAATCCCAGTCTGTTTCCGACTCTGTTTCACCCATCTCAACAACCACTTACCCCAGAATCCAACATCCCACACACACAACCACGCAACACATCCAAGAAAAGCAGGAAATGCAAGATAATCCCGCACAAGACTCATCATGTTGTGGAGTATGGAGTCAGTATCATGTATGGGGTGCTTGCTTGCTTGCTTGCTGCACACCCCTCCTACGCACTCCCCTTCTTATCCCTTCCCTTCTTGTCTCAGACATGAGATGGATCAGACCAGACAGGACAAGTAGAGCAAGACATGGGCTGTATGTAGTATGTAAGTATGTAGTATGTATGTGTATGTCTGTATGTGAGTTATCGTACATACTACAGATGGATCATATGTACTATCACGGAACACGACATGGAGGATATGTGAGTACTCCAGGATACTAGTACTTGGATATGTATGTGTTTGATGTATGTGGAGGTGGAGGTAGCTATATCTACTATGTAAGCATATTGCTGTTGTACTACCTACTACTACTGAAGTACCAGTGTCTAAATACGAATACTGAGCATATTATATAATGCTATTCACTCACAACTATAAATACCAGTATACTATTGTTTACCATGACTATCTTGTTTATATATTTATATATCTAGTCGTACTTATGTAGAGAAGCAATATAGACCACAATCATATATCTCCTCCCTCCCATCTATACCCAAACAAAGCAAGCAAAGTAGGCAAATAACAAGGATCCTCCCTCCCCGGCGCTTGGGTGCAGCAACACTCACCACCACCACCACCACCACCACCACCACCACCACCACCACCATGCACCTCCACCTCCACCTCCACCACAACCCAGCAGCGCAGCGCAGCACAGCACTCGTCACGAAACGCACTGCAGGTGAAGTGGAGACTCATTGGTAGCAGCACACTGACCGACTATATGCAGAGTGGTAGAGGGTGTGCTGCAAGCTGCACCCGCACAGCCCTGTCGGATGCAGCTAGGCCAGCAGCTAGCTGGGCAGGCGATACGCCGAGCAAGCACACACCCACACCCACACGAGCAGCCACACACAGACGCCCACTGGATATATGGGGATCAGCAAGGTGTGTATGTGTGTGTGTCGGTGCTTTTTGCAGAAGAGACCAGAGACAAGCTGGAAGACAGGGGGTGGGTAGCTGTATCTTGCTCTGCTTGACTCGACTCGGCTCTAGAACACGAGGGCTGCACTACTAGCTGCTATTACTAAACATGGGTAGGTAGGATGGTTCTGCAACAAGTACGTTGGGAGTACTGCTACGCTCATTGATGCTCCGCTATGTTCATGATGTTGATATTGCAGTTTCATATACCGGGAAATAAATAGAAAGCATGAGGTATGATTCGTTCAAACGCTGATAAATGCAAGGCGCCACCGTACGACAGGGACAGACGGTAAGTAGGTAAGTAGCTAACGGCTGAGAGGCTACCTAGTAAAACAGGCCAAAGAAAAAAAAGAGGACATGCATGCATTGGATGAGGAACGTGCTCTCCACGCTCAGAGCAACTACAATGCCCAGTCATCGGGCCCGTTCAATTCCGCAACAAATGGCTTGTCGATCTGCTTGATTGCATGATCACCGCAGAGAACACTGGGAGACGTGTTAGTAAACTGTAGAGCGAACTTTGAATGAAGCAGACTTACCAGGCCTCTGCAATCAGCCCGTCCAGTTCCCGCACAATCTCTTCTCGTCGCGCTGCTCCCAGTGTCCCCTTGTTTAGCTGCGCTTGTAGGTCGCGGATGTACTTCTTCTTGCCACCGGCACCGTCGAGGACCTCCTTGCCTAGGCAGTCGCTGTGGAAGGCATGCTGGCACGGGAAGACGAAAAATTGCCGGCTGAGCACCGGCAAGGAGCAGAGCCAGCACTTCTCTCCGGGTTCGACAATTGCATATCGCGTGTCCAGCGCCGCAATCTCCGTCCGGATCTGACGCGCCGTGTGCGCCGAGTTATCCATCTCTTGTCGCAACGCATCGATGTGCCGCGAGTAATCCTCGAGCGCACTGCAGATCTCGTCCTTAAAGTCGTCAATGACAACAAAGTCTGGGAAGAACGGGATCAGATCCTCGATGCGGAGCAGTTCGCATCGGCGAAGGAACTCGATCGCGTCCTTGATGCCCGTGCCAGGCTGGCGGATCTTCTTCTCCGCTACAAGAAGCCAAAGCTTCTTCCGGAGCTTGTCGTTCCCCTCCGGTCGGTCCGCCACAATCGCTGCCAGTTCGATATCTTCATGCTGCAGAGCCAGCTCCACCGCCTGGAGATACTGTCCCATGGCGCTGTAAATGTGGACGCACGATTGCACGCGCTGGTGTTGGATACAAAGACGGAGAGCAAAGTCTGCATCGTACGGCGGCGGAGATGACGGCTGTGACTGCAGGTAGGTGAGGAGTCCGGCTTCCGAGGACGAGGGACTTGAGGCGTGGATCGAGATCAGGGTGTTGTGGACCGCCGCGGACGGCTTCGGGTGGTTGACAATGATGAAGTTCAAGTACCGCACCGCCTGGTTCTGCCCCAGGGGAACGTTTACGGTCTTGTTGTAGTTCAGCAACGCAGGAATCAGCTTCTCCGGCTCGAGGTTGGTCTGCCGCATCAAGATGTCGACTAGTCCGGCAGCAGCATGGGTCATGAGAACGCTACTATACTTGTAGAACACATCGGGTTCACTCTGTCGTTGCAGAACATTGAGTGCCTCCGACCATTTCTCTCGCTGGATCCAGTAGGACAGCACATAGTTGTGGTCATTGACCGCCGTGGCAAAGAATAGCAATTCCTCCTCTCGCCCATGGCTACTGATGAGATCATATGCAGTCTTCTTGTCCAAGTCGGACCGATATTTGGTGACAAACTCTTGGAACTCAGCCCGGACACTTCCGAGTCCGTCCTTGACTTCTTCCGTGCTCGTGCCCTCCGCCAATTCTGCTTTGGTGGCGATGTTGTCATCAAGCGAGTTCAACTTCGTCATGAAAACTTCGACAAGCCAGCTGGCAACCATTATCCGTTGCATTGACGAGGACTTCTTATACGTAGAAAGCTGGCCAAGAAGGTACTTTCGCAGGGCATCATGCTCGCCCCGGTTGATCAGAGTCAGACAGACCTCTTCGAAGCCTTTGCTGCTCTTGCCCCAAACCTTGGCCGCCTCCAAATACCGACCCTTACTGGCGAGGAAGTCTCCCGAGGCGGTGGAAACAGCATCTTTTTGCGCTGTAGTACGGGCGTACTGCAGAGCTTCGTCAAACATCTCCTTCTGCAGAAATACCTTCCAAACGTCTCTATCTTCGTCCTCGACTGCAATTTCGAAGATTTCCTGGCTGGTGAACAGCCAGTAAGTGTGCTGCATCGCATCCGTTAGGAGGCCCAAAGCACTCTGTCCTGGTTCAAGAACGGCTTCATCGTACACAATTTCATCATTCATACGGTTCACAGCAACAACTCTGCCTTCGACAAGGGCTAAAATGTGCCACTGGGACAACGTCATGGCAGTTATTGGGTCTTGTATGAGCTTCTTGCCTCCGCGCGCAGATTCACTAGCCGGGAACAAAGACCGCGGCAGCATGTTCGAGCTTTCAAAGGGTTGAGTGAGTTTCTGCGGCGCGTATGGAAGTTGCCCGTGGTAGATACCTTGCGAACTGAGCCATGCGAACTCATTTTCCGGCTGACCAGTCGCATTCTGACCTTCTGGAACAATAGGCGAGATAGCCAGTGTCGACGGCGCGGCGCTAGAAGGCTTCTGAATCTCATGGGTTACAGGCGCCTCGCGTTGAAATAGATCAGCGTAGACAAGACTTCCTCCTTCCCTCCCGTACCTCCCAGTACGTCCTGAGAAGCACAGCAGCTTTCCATGGGTCGCTATTAGCACTCGTCTGAACTCGGGCTTCGTAGGTATTATCTCCGCCCAGATCCCTGTGACAGGCGACGCTTCCGGTGTCTTGTAGATGGCCTGCGCATATCTCTCTTCACGGCGGTAGAACTCGGTAGACGGCTCAATGTAGGCCTCCCAGATCTGGCCATCCGTCGTGCCCAAAAGTATCTCTCTTGTCGAAGCCGTAGGCAAAGAGGGGTTCCACGCGACACTTTCTATCGGAACACCTTTCAGTCGCGACAGTGGCTTAGGTTGCCGAGATTGGGTATGGAGGTAGTAGTTCTCGCCAAGGGTGGTGGTGATGATCAAATGGGACGCGGACGGGTCCAGGAACATGCGACGTATAACGCCTATCTCCGATGACTTTTTGGGAAGATCGATATCTAAAATATGCAAGTCAGCATGGCACCGGGAGTCTATCAACCCTCCATGATCTCCGTCATAGGGTGACGAACCATCGATATCCTCCGGGGTATCTAGATCTATTCGGAGAATGCGTCCAGTCGACAAAGCCAGAATCAAAACATTATTAGCGACCTGCGCTGCGACAAAGTCCGCAGCCAGTGGGAACTGCAACTGCACACGTCGGACATCGAACATGGACAGAGCGGCGTCCGGAGGCTCGGCGAGGTTGCTGGGAGCAACATAACCGCTGGACGTCTCCAGCGCCATGATGCGCCAATTGTAAATAATGGCCCTATTTCATTGCTCGACCGCACAAGAAGCCTGAGTGGAGCTGCCCGGACGAGGTATAACAGCCAGGCGAGCTGGAGATGGGTGATGATGAAGATGGGGGTAGCTCGCCCGAAGCGGAGCTACTGATGCCTTGGCGCATATATGCCTGAGGCAGAAACACTCTATACCAGATACTGCTTGCGTTGCCATTCGATGTATCCTTTCTACTATATATCTACCCCATTGAAAAGGAAACAGAGAACTTTGAATCTTCATGTTAATTTTGTTCGTCATCATAAGCATGCTTGCAAACTATTACTACTCTATAAGCTCGCTATGCAGTCTACTGAACGCCGATGCAAACCCTCAACCGAAAGACTGAGCTGAAGGCACAAAACATGCAACATGCCCGGGTATCAAGCCCTTGTCTTTCAAATTATACAGCCTGTGCTCATAGCAAACGAATGCAAGGTAAGCGGAAACGCATGTGAAATCGAACATTCGGATCGTCATCACCATCACATCATCACATCACGACACACTCCCGGTCGAGCTTCCGTCCAATCTTCTCCCGAGATTTGTCCTTCAGCTTGTCTCTAACTCGCTCGGAGTCCCTAGTCCGTCGGGGGCTTTTGTCCTTGCGCTCACCGCTTGGAGGACTGAATTTCTCCGTCGGTCCCAGTTCATTTTCCGTTAACTCATCCACCTCGCCTTCAGAGACTCCATCGTTGGTGAACTTCTCTCGACTGCGTCGCCCGGTAAATCGTGAAAAGGTCGTGCTAATTCTGCTCTCGCTTGCCTGGCTCCCTGCACGACTGCCTGGATTGCTCCTTGTATGCCTCGAACTGCGTCGAGAGAATGAGAACGAGGCCCTGCCATCATCATCTCTTGGAGTAAGTCTCGGCGAAGTCGGCGCGTATGACTGCATCGAGGTCGGATCAAAAACTTCAGAGAATGCCACACTCTGCTTTCTGCTGTTGTGATCCATAGGGGCAGGATCTGCACCGTCAGGCCCGGTGATTTCGAAACTAGGCCGACCTGAAGCGTATCCCTCCGCGCGAGCACCACCGATATCTTCCACAGATAGGTTTTGTGGTTTCTGCACCATATTGGCATTCTCTGTATCCCGAAAATCCATTGACAACTCAGAGGAAGGCGGTTTGTCGAACAGATTGGCTGCCGCAGCATCCTCATTGATAGGCAAGATCTGGTAGAATAAGAGGTACGGCGACTCGTGTTTCAAAGCCTGCTCGATGTCGACTAGCGTTACTCGCTCTTTTGCCAGGTCATCAAACCGCATCCAATATCTTGAGGCGTCAGAAGTGGTTGCCTCCTGGTCTGAACCATGAGAACTGGCTGGAGGCGCGCCAGCACTGGTACCCCTGACAATTGATATGTAGTGCCCGGAATCGACTGAGGTACCTCGATGGCAGACCATTGCCTGCAAAGACAGCTTGAAATTTCCGTAGATAGGGCCTTCTTCCTCCATACTATCATCCTGAATAAAATGGGGCAACCCGATCTCGGTCGGAATATCTATGAATGTGTTGAGCCGTACTGCTTTCCCTGTGGGTGTCATGGAATAGCGCTTGAGACACATGCCAAGGATTGGTCGCTTCGAAGAAAAGTGCGCGGCGACCTGGGCGTCATTTGTCGGGGTGTTGTCCGTATACCATGCTATACTCACGTCAGCACTTCCTTAACGCACATACCAAGTAGAACTTACGTATGAGACTGAAGAACTGCCAGGCGGGCATCATGACCTCCTTCCTGTACGAGCCTCTCCTTTGAGAGCTCATCGTACCGTCCTGAGCATTTTCATCGCCAGGGATAAATCGTTCCTGGACGATGCTGCTCCGTCGGTATGGAGGGGGGGCCGAGTCGACCACTTCCGTCAGCGAGGCCACTGGTGTGACATCGTCTAGCGGAGAATATGACTGGCTTGAAGCTGGTGACAAGGGTGAGCCGACCTCAATGGTCTCAACATGTGTCGTACAGCCTTTGGCTATGGAATCCATTGATTTGACTGAACCCACAGTGTAACGCCGCTCCAGATGCCGCTTGACCTCGATCCTATTGTTGAAGTATGACTCCAAGCAGTCTTCCAGAGTAACGGTCTCGCCATCAGCTGGCTCAGGTATCGCAACTTCTAGCAGTCTCTCATTGACAAATTTATGATCGCCGGTTACATCCTCTTTTCCGGTATGGTATATGTCCATCTTCAGTGTGAGAAGAGGTAATTCCAGCTTCTCCGTGATGAACGTGAACGCTTCAGACGTATCCTGTTGGCGAAGCTTGGCCGCATCTTCCCAGCCGCATTCAGCAAGGGCGTCCTGCAGATGTTTGGTCTTCAACGGAGCAGAGAGTTAGCTTCAATCCAAAAGACGAGTTCCGGGAGATACGCACAAGGTCCGTTGTAATAAGCCTCCCCGACCGCAGCATGTTGACCCAGAGTCGCAACAGCACCGACAATTTCCGGCGGGGCTCATCATTGAAAGACTTGTAGAGAATTGCCTCGAAGCAATCCAATCGGGCGAACATGGCAAAGAGTAGTGCATCTAGGTAGCAAGTGACGCCTTCACGGTTGACCGCTCCAAGAAGCTTCGTGGTTGGCGTGTATCCTCTTATTATCCCCTCGATCGCATCCTCAAGAATCATGAGCATCTCGAATGCCTTGTCTACATCCCCTTTGGCGTGCTCTGACTGCAGGGCATAACTGATGTGTTCGGTCCGTAAGCCAGTGATACCGAGCTGTGCGACACGTTGCTCTAAGACCTTGATCTACTGCCTGTCAGCGCCATCGAATAACGCACGTCCCCATTTGTATTCACCTTCTTCTGATTTTCATTGGTATCCCCGGTAGGAAGTTTATCGGAGGAGAAAAACCCACGAAAATGGGGGCGCGAAAGGAGGTTTGATGCCTAGATGAGGAGGCGCATTAGCATGACTATAGTCACCCAGCGGAATCCCACCATACCTCTTCTTTGGCATTTTTCTTCTCACGTCTGGTGAGAAACCTATGGATGCCACTCATCCTCAACAGCGCATGTGTCCTAGCCAGACGACGGGCGAGACAGACGAATGTGCGAAGAAGTGGGGAGTGCGAGATGCATCGATGAGTGGGGGATCTATATAAATCCTTGCTCAGGCTCCAATATTCCGATGGAGCACGCGAAGAGATCTCTGGTGGAGTCACAACACATATCAGACGGTGATATCACTCAGGGTTGATTTTTCCCGATTTTATCTTTTTTCTCTCTTCTGACTTTTTTGGTCGCGATGGTCTCCTCGCGATGTCCAATTAGCAAAGCCCGACGTATACTAGGCACTAGGCACCAGGTGCGATCAGTGACATCACATGTAACGGCACAAGATCTTAGTTGTAAAACAATGGATAGAAAGGCAAAGAAGGGAGTCTGCTCGAGGCAACCAGGGTATTGCTGATGTGGATGAAAGAGCCGCCCATCAGAAGACCTTCGCAGCCGATCTCAGCGCATTGACGATAAGCTTGTTGGTGGCGGGGATGACGAAGTTGATCACATGTGGATCCCCGCCTGTGGAGGGCCCCTTTGGCTGCCTGATTTCTTCCCTGCCAGATCCCCCAGGCACCAGTAAGCCCAGGTCCCGGACACCACGTGATGCTGTCCCGAAAGAGTCGATGCTCGCCGGTCCGCGAAACAATTTTTGGGAATTCAGTCTCGACCAGTCTACAGTAAACCCCATCCCCTGTGGACCTCAATGGCTGCCAGTGAACCCTCCAGATACCTGGCAAGGTCATTGCCACGGGCCTTGGTGCCCTCTTCGCGGGCTCCGGCCTTTTGCTGGCGTCGCAATGCCTCCGATCAAGCGTCGACGAGATCTCCGTCCGCCGACATCAACGAGCTGGAGTCGACCACTCTATCCACCCCTCTGTCGCAGGACACGGTGAAGTCCTTCAATCCTCTCGAAAGAGCCAGAGCACGCAAGACGCAACTACCCCGGAGTCGGTACGTTTTCTCCTGGAGTCAAACCCTAGGCTTCACTTCAACATCCTCCATCCAACAATCATCCGTCCTCCCCAACTGACACGAAACAACCAGTTATCAATTCCGCTCCCCCAAATACGACCGTGGTCCTCTTCACCCTCACCGGCCTCCCCCGCCCTCTGATCCCTCCTCTCGACTTTTCGTCCCCGGCCCCTTCTCCCTTCCCCGTGTCGCACAGACCTGGCAATCAACCGTCGCACCGGACCTCCTCACCCTCCTCTACGTCCACAACCCCCCGGGATTTAAGCCCCCGCCGAAGGCTCCTCGTCTCCGTTCATGGGACGACAGCTCCCCGTACCACAAGAACCGATCTCTGCGTGGCCCTCGTGGTGGTGACGTTCTCCGCCTCCTCCGCAAGCCTATCACCTTCAACAACATCCCCAAGATCGAGCGCATCACTCTCCACAGTTACGTCAAGCAGGCTGCCACGAACGACTCGTCATGGCTGCACGTTGCTGGTATGGCCCTGCAAGCCGTGACCAACGTCAAGGTTGAGACTTTCAAGTCCAAGACTAGCGTTGCCCAGTGGCACATTGCCCCCGGTCGTGATACCGTTGCCGCCAAGGCCGAGCTGCGCGGTGAGAACATGCTGCATTTCTTCGGAAAGCTGGTCGATGTTGTCATGCCCAGACTCAAGGATTGGCAGGGTGTGAAGGGTAGCAGTGGTGATAGCAGTGGTAACATCACTTTCGGTCTTGAACCTGAGGAGATGGCTCTGTTCCCGGAGATTGAGGTGAACTATGATATGTAAGTTGCCCCATTGCCAAGTGTACAACGCTTTACGTGCACATACATATGCACACAGTGCCAAGTATGATCAGAAGATCTAATCGAAATAAAACAGGTACCCCCCCAAAATGATCCCCGGTTGCCACATCACCATCCACACCAGCGCCAACACCGACAAGGACGCCCGTCTTCTGCTCAGCGCCATGGGTGTTCCTTTCTACGGCAAGCTTGTCAACTGAAGAAGAAACATGACAGTTTATGTGTACGGAATTGTCATTTGGCAATCAATAGACGGTTTTTGTCTTTCTTCCCTCCGCACCATCACCTCACTCACACCTTTGTTGATTTGAGCAACCTTTTTCCTTTGAATATGTAACATGAAAGGATAGTACCTATATCTGTGGTGTTATTAGTATTACTATTGTTCTTGTTGTTAGAATCGTTTATGTAAAATACGCTCTGTTTTGGTATCATTAAATTTCAAATGCACATTTCCCGATTCCAGCTCGGTAATTTGTAACATAGATAAGCATAACAGTTGCAAGATACGGTCAAGAAAAATTTGTTTCGTGGACGTGAACGATCGTCAGATTAATTGGTCTATCAGTTGGATATGGTTAAATACTACAGAGATTTTAGAAATAAAATATCGCCTCCCCTCTCCCAGGGGTAGCAACGCATGACATATTCACCATTGCCCACAATCGCAGCTTCAAAGGAAGCTTATTATATGTAAGATATCACGGCACACTGCAGCTCTGTACAAGAATTGAATTGACTCTCATCATGGCTTGTCAACAAGCCAAAGATAGAAGATCAGGAGGGGGGTTGCGGGGGAGGAGAGGCCAGCCGTTATATGATTGTGCTTTTGGGTGCAAGGTAGAAAGAAGCAAGGCAGATAAAGACAATATATGTGGTATGAGGGATGCGGAAACATGGAAATGACAGAAACGCACGCGAATCCAGGGGGTATTCAACTCTCCACACAAATCAATCGATTAAGCATTCGGGAAGAAATTCGTCGTCAACGTATTAGGTATTGTCCGGATGGGAGGGTCCGGTTTTGATGCTATTTTCATGCAAGAGGATTGGCCAAAAATTTGCACTTGAGAAGTTCGTCGGCGCTCGGTCTCTTTTCGTAATCAACTTGGAAGGTCATGTCCAAGAATGCCACGGCTTCGTCGCTCGCGTGTTCGGGAGCGGGAGGTCTGGCTTTCTCTTTGCCGATAGCGTAGATTGCTTGCAGTTGACTGCAGGAGGGGAAGGGATGCGCGCCGGTGAACATCTCGACAACAAGACATCCCAGACTCCAAATGTCGGCCTTCTTGGTGTGGATTGTCTGTTGAACCACTTCAGGTGCCATCCAGTAAACGCTACCCTGCATGGAGACTCGGTGTGCGTGGCCACCTCCACCACTAGCCCGCGCACCAAGAAGAGTCGAGGCCTCTACCCGTTTAGAGATACCGAAATCGGAGATCTTGATGCCGCCCTTGTTGTCAACAAGGATGTTGGCGCCCTTGATATCACGATGGATGATATCACGGCTGTGAAGATAAGAGAGACCGGCAAGGATTTGCCTCACGAAGTTCTTGATCAGAGGCTCTTGGAACGTGTTGTACTGCTTGAGCATGGTAGCAATGGACCCTCCTGGCACGTACTCCAAGAAAATGTTCAAGTACTGGTCGTCAGCAGCAGTGCCCAAGTACTGCACAATGTTCGGGTGATGGAACCCTTGCAAAAGTTCAATCTCATGCTTGAGGGCGGTAACCATGCTATTCTTCCGCTTGTCAAATTCGGTGCCCTTGGTTGCAGACGGAATCTCAACTTGTTTCACAGCCATAAGCTCTCCAGTAATGGCATGAAGAGCGAGGAAAACACTTCCGAAGGAACCCTCTCCAATTAGGGATCCCTTCATCCAATTCTTGGGCGCAAAGTTGTTTCCAGCCAAGAAGTCATTGAGACCATCATCTTCCTCTTCCCCATCTTCTGCCACGAGGATGCTCAATCGTTCATTAAGTGAACCTCCATCCGTTGCAGCAACACTTGCGTTCTCATCCACAAGGCTCTGGCGCGACGTGGTGGGGTCATCCGAGCCACTATCGAAAGAAACATATGATTCGCGATTAGGCTCGATGGGCGACTCTTCCTGGAGAGGCTGAAGGGAGCTAGAAGCAATCGAATCTCTGTACGTAGCGGAAGGAAGGTTGAACTTGGAAACTGAGAGTGGCCGCTGACCGCGAGCTGGCTGTGGCCCGGCATTAAGCCAGGTATCTGCAATGCTAGGAATCGGGGGCGCATCTCTCAAGCTAGACGCATAACTTGTATTACTGACGACACTCAAACGGCTTGCGGCCCGGCTCAGGCGCTGAGATCTGCGAACGGACATGCGCATGGTCTTTTCGATTTCCTCCCGCTGGTGACTAGGGAAGTAGGACGTGATCTCGTGGATGATCATCTCGCTTGGAGGACGGGCACCGAAGAAGGACCGCAACTTGCCCACCTGGCGCTCCACATTCATGGGCGGTCGCATATCGTGCTCACTAGGTGTCTGGTTGTGTCTGGAAGAGACGGGTGACATGGGCTGTCTGATATTATGCCAGGGCTCCCCAGTCAGCTGCTGGATCTTGAGCTGGTTGCGAACATTTGAACTGCTCAGAGCATTCATATGCGCTAATTGGCTTTCATCTACCGCCAGTTGAGAAGCACGACGAAGCTCATCGGGATCGGGTTCCCCAGCATGGATTTTGCGAAGGATAAGACGACCCCGCTCGGACCTGTGAGTACTCTCACACACCTCCATGAGCTCTTGGTCTGTCAGTCTTCTACAGTTGGCAGCATTTGGCTCCAGGCCATCCAAAACGTAGAAGCAGTAATTGCGGTATTGATGTTCCGGGAGCTGTAGTTTCTTCAGCACGCAGAGAACGACCTCATCGGCATCCCTGCAGTGTTTGATGTCCAGCATCTTAGTTTGCCCCCCTGTGTAGATCACTCTGATAACGGGCGAGTTCATCGGTAGTTGTCCCATAGTCAAGCCATCCAAACTAGGGTTTTGCCTCAAATGCGACCCAGATCGTTCGCTGGGCGTTCCCGGTTTTCGGCTGGTCATCGAGCTAACGGAGGACGGATGGCTGAAGTAGCTTTGCCCCTGTTCCATACGCCCCATTTCCATCGGGCTATTAGCGACATACTGCTGAGGACGCAGAGGCGATTCGGGCCGTGATGACGGCCTGTTAGCAGAATAGTTGAGAGCATTAGTCTCGGCTGCTCGAGACGAGCGGCGTGTCGTAGAAGTTGCAGAAGTCTGCCGGAGATTGGAGGGACGTGATGGCTCCGATGAAGTGTTTGTGTAGGATACGGCTTCCAGTGTAGCCAGTTGATTCTGGCCCATGGTTAGTTTCAATTCAGTTTACTAGTGGGGTACTCAACTTACCAGATTCCTCGACTTGCCGTTAAGGACTGACTTGTTCCTGAGTTGCTTGATGGCAACAAATATCCGCACACGATCGCCAATCTTCTTGATTCCCATCTCCTGCAGGATTTTCTGATCGCATTCGATGAGGTTATTACCATTAAAGTTATTCGCTGGAGCTGATCAGCATTTGTTGCCAGAGTAATCTGACCTGGATAACGGTGGCGCTTAGTACCTTTGAACAATGCCTCGTATTGGCCGCAGTTTATGCTATGAAGCCAGGTAATAACCTGCTTCTCATCCCAAGATCTTGTAACCGTCAGTATTTTGCGACTTTGTCATCGGACATGGATAGAGCCAAAACTTACCGTACAGCATCAAGCCCGTCGTACGCGTCAGAAAAACTTGACTCAGTGGGACTAGTGAACATCATCCCCTTCTGTGAATCTCCAATCGCGGTGGGCTTCTGCGAGGACCCAGTGTAGTAGGAAGTTGTAGGGGTCTGGGTTGCAGACACACCCAACGGGTTGTAGGTTGCTTTTGCAAGCATGGCTGCGAGATATCGAGAACGCGGACGAGGTTTTCCTTGGGTATATTATATTCCCTGCTGTAGCCCTGCAAATTTGGCGGCAAACTCTGGGATAAATACCGTAAAGGCTGGGCTATCGCCACCTAGTGTGTATAACCTTGACGTCTTCGAAACACCGACTCGGAGGGAAAGCGGGACTCGGCAGAGAGATGTTGGGAAGTTCAATGCATGGTCCAGAACTACACCTCTAAGATTGTCGCGTAACTGTCAGTCCCTCATGCGGCGGCCAACTGAAGACAAAGACCGGGGTTGGGGTATCCGTGGGGGCGCCTGTGGAGGGACAACATGATGACTTACAGTTCAGGCTGAATCGATATCACAGGCGTATCCAAGCGAAAGAGGAGACGGTATGCGGTAGGGCGTCTGTGCTGCTTTCAAAGACCTGATCCTCCTTTGTGCCGCTCTGACCAAGGTCTGGGCTGCACTAGGGGTTGAAGATGTCGATCTGACGTTATCGCTGGATCGAGGTTCAACCCACCGGGTGGTTGGAGGGGAAGGAGACAGGCGCTTGAGGCTGATGCTGAGGCTGGGGAGGTGGTGAAATGCTTTGTGCTGTTCTGGAGGAATGGAGGAATGGGAGGGCGACCGGAGGGGAAATGGAAGGAGGGGGAGGGACTGATCAACTGGAGGATAAGAAAAAAAGGCCAGTGTTGGTGGTGGTGGTGGTGGTGGTAGTGGTAGATTAGTTTTGAAAGGCAAAGTGACAGGACAAGAACAGCCTCCCTTGGTATCTAGCGCGGTCAGTCCGGAGGCTAATGAATGGATTGAATCCTCTTTGCTTACAGACCGAACTGGATCTGACGGAGCCTGTTAGGCCGATCGGTCGGGGACGATGGGCTCCTCCGGCATGCGTCCTTTGGAGTCGCGGGTTCATTCTCAAACACGCCGCCGCGGCTGATTTGTCAAGGGGCCCGATCTGAAACAATGGACTCAAGAGGCCCCTCCGACTATCCCTTCCCGTCCAGAGGTTATTCCCTTCCTCTCCCCCCCATTCTTTCTGCTATTCTTAGGCGGTTGAGCCGTCCTGGTGGGCATGTTCCATGGTTTGTGCCTGGGTGATGCTTGGTTCTTCCCAAGAACCTGGTCCCGGTAGTGCTCGGGGGTTTGTTTATTCTCTTCCCTTTGGATGATGGACTAGATAGTTTGAGTCACGGCTGGCGCGTTGGGAGGTCCTTCAAATGAGACAGCTTTCGTGTTCATCGGTTGAGAAACTGCTGCGATTTGGTTGGTGTTCACTGATCCTTCCATTGGGCTGCCACCCGGCCTTCCCTTAGTGTCAGGCTTCCCATGTCTCTGACCCGCCTTGTTAACGTTAACTACTAAATATCTTTGATAGTTAGATAGTATCTGAAATACCAACTATCTCTTCTCACACCACTCACTGTCACTACATATTATGCTGATTACTGTGGCATTGCACCAGTCCTGTATCCCGTGTCTAGGCCACTCAAACTCTAATTAGCTCATCCGAACCTTACTCTCTACAGGCTAGTCAGTGGCGTTGCACCCTAATCTGTCTCTGACAGGAATACCATCAATGCTGCGGGCCTGCTTACTGATCATGGAATAATACGGAGGTGGTCTCCTTAAGCGTCTGACTGGAGAGTAAATCCATAATTTGGACTGACTCTCTTCAGAGGTGGATCGTGCAGTCCGAATGCGTCATCTATCCCTGAGGATTCAGTCCTACCATATCCGAAGTCTTAGAAAGGACCCATTCAGCCTTGACTAAGAATCTTGGAATCTGGCGAGATAGCCCGATATTTGCTCAATGGCAGCCTCTCCTCCAACCACACACTTTGTAAAACTATCATGAGGAGGGAGGAGAGCTTACCACTCTCCTCTCTGAGAAGAAGCCATAAGAAGGGGCGTCCCAGTAAGCGCGGATACGGTACCAAAACTTATACGAAGAGATTCCAAGGTACTATCTACATTGTGCATTCTTCGGGGCAGAAAGGAGTCAGTAATAGAGGCTACCAGCCTACTATCGTATGGGTGGTATTCCTTTCATATGGCCTTTACGAGGATTACTCGTCTATAGACTCGTTCCACTCGCAAGTCTAGCTTGAGTCAACAGGCGCTTCCAAGCTCGTTCAAAAGGTGTACCCTATATCTGCTAGCATACTCCATCCACGACCCTGAGCTTTTATTTCATGCAGCAAAGCATGTAAATCGATGTAGATAGATCGTGGCCCCATTTCGGTACCAAGTTCTGGGGGCTTGGTGGGGTCGGACGGTTCATGCTGAACCATCCGGCCATCTGCGTCCCGTCTATTTCCAATTTCGGCTGCTGCGATTCAGGACCGCTCCGCTCTATTCACAATCGGATACTGGTCGACAGATGGGATGAGTTAAAGATAGCTCAAGGGGGTAGGAGAGATTACCGAGCAGATACCTTGGCGCTCAGGCAGGAACAGCTTCACTTCAGCTATGTACTGATCAGGTAGACTACTACTAATAGTAGTAGTCCATAGGGGAAACACACTTTCCTACCCGATATGCTTTGGCGTCCGCTCAAGCTGAAACATTGGCTTTCGACAGGAAGAATCACTAGGGGCAAGAAATATTGTGCCCCTTAAAGCCCCTGGCTAAGAAAATAATAAAGCGTTTTAATGCCGAATACCGCATGTCTACACTACCTCCCTCTTTGTAGTACTAGTATGCAACGGATGTCATTGATTCGGTCCTTGACTGAGAGAGTAGTATGCAGAGCAGAGAAAGTGGGGGGGGCATTTGGCAGCTGATGAAAACATTGTGAAATGAGGAAAGATAAGCACCGTGACTGCAGACGGCCGGTCTAATTGAGTTCGGACTGGACACGAAGTTGTACATGATATATATCTCCGAGGAGCGGGTGCTTGTCGGGTACAGAAAGTACATTCATGTGACTGTAGTAAGTATTGATGTAGCTAATGCTGACATATTCAATTTGTATACAACTACATTATCTTCTCCCCTTCGATATTTGAATCCAGGGTGCTGCTGTAACCCCAACTGACTCCCCATGGAAATGCGGGCCTCTGTGAGGAGATGTTCGTGATATCGACGCCCAAAGTAAACATCTCCGCACCGGTGGGGATGGCGGAGTCAACTTTCGTCCAAGGGATGCAGGAATCATGCGTAGAGACCTGACCGGCGCACAATGCAGCAATATCGCCCGCACTTCCCTTCTTGACTTTCAATGTTTGAAGACCGACCGGGGATTGTCGCGGGGAAAGTGACCTAAATCGACAGGGGAAGAGAAGGAAAGAGGAAGGAACGACTGGCCTCCACACGTAGAATAGAATAAATGAGTGGTAGGGCTTCTTTTGGCGGAAGCCAGCGGGAGGGCACCACGTGACTCTAACTCGCAAAACCCCCTCATGTTGACCCCACAGTTTTTCTTCCCCGCTCGCCTGTGATCCCATCTAAGGACATGGTCCAATTCCAAGGCAATTCGCCATGGAGGACGACAGAGGCACCCCGGGAAAAGTGAGGAAGAAAAGCACTCCCGCTCATCGCAAGTCCTTGTCTTGTGAATATTGCAGTCGCTCGTTTGCGCGCCTGGAACACCTCCAGCGCCATCTCCGCACCCGTTGAGTAACCCTGAAGCCTTTCCCGGCTGCCTGTGGCCTTCCCACACACGCGAGACTGACGTGTGCCATCTAGATACCAAGGAGAAGCCTTTCTCATGTGATATTTGCTCCAAATCTTTCGCAAGGAGGTAAGTTACTGCCCGCGTTGCATCGCAGCCGCCCCGCGCTAAGATGGGGGGAAATTTCATAGTGATCTGCTCGTACGACATGAGCGGCTAGTCCATCCAGCTGAGACCGCAGCCAACCGGGAGCATCGTGCTCAAAACAGCCACGATGTTCCTCAGACCCAACCTCCTATAATACAGCCCACTCACCATGAGTCCCGCATGCTAGAGCTTGCCGACGCTGTCCCTATTCACACCCAACCCGTGCCGCCGCCTCCTCCCGAGGTGCAGGTGCAGCCTCCCCCGATTGTGGAAACGACTCACTTCAACCCTTCCTGGGGATATGATTTGAACCTCCTTTCCCACGCTGCAAGTCATGTTGCCCTGGAGGGTGAGCAGGAGAGTCTCGAATCGATCCGCAAGTCTTCACAGCACGTGGGCACCTCGCAGCCGCTTCCCCACGTCCCAGAGAGAGCGATAACCGATAATTATGGCGTCGAACCCTCTATTCTGGATCTTGCTGACTTAGGGGACCCCGTTCAAGACTTCACAGTTTTCCTGGAGAGCGTAGGACTGTCGTCCGACTGGGACTCTGGCGTATTCTCCACAGTTGAAGATCCGATTCTGCCGACGACTCTTCCAATGGACTCAAAGCCACCCATCCGTGAAATGGGAAGGCTTGGTCCCGAGCTCATGAATGACCCACGGACTGCAGCTGATGAACAGCCGTCGTTTTCTAATTTTGGATCACGACTACCGTCCTTGCAACCTGAACCTCATGATGTAGATGACCGTCTCGGGTTTGGTGATGAAGGACCTCGCCCTGCCTGGGATATATCAAATGCAGACCGTCAAGTCTTTTTGTCGAAACTCGATGAGTTTGCTTATATTCTTCCCAAAAACTTCATTCCGCCTTCGAGACACGCACTGTCTCGATTCTTTGCCGGCTATATTAACGGCTTAAACGAGCACCTTCCTTTCATCCATGTGCCTACACTCTCTGTTGCAAAATGCTCACCTGAGCTTACTCTTGCGTTGGCGGCTGCGGGGTCTCACTATCGATTTGAAAATAATCGTGGGATAGAGCTATTTCACGCAGCCAAGGCCATCCTTCTTCAGCGTCTCCACCGCCGAGACAGTAAGCAAGTAGCTTGTCCGACTTGGAACTTTCTGTCACCGGCATCTGGATTTCACAACTCTCGCGGTTCGTCCGCTACTTCAAACCATACCAGTAGCCCGTTTCAGCAGCAGCATCCTACTTTATACCCAGCGGATCCTTCTGGATATGCACCCGAAGATTCGGATGCTCACATGGAAGTGATTCGAACTTTTCTTCTGCTTACAGTGTTTGCTTCGTGGGAACGGCACCCAGAGTTGTTACGAGAAATGCTCTCCCTTCAGAGCACGCTGGCGAGACTCGTGAGAGAGCATGGTCTCGTCGAGCCACCTCCTAGTCCCGACCCAAACAACTGGGAGGATTGGATACGACGGGAAGGTAACCGGCGGACCAAATTCATTGTTTACTGCTTCTTCAATCTCCACTCCATCATGTACAACATACCTCCTCTCATTCTTAACGCTGAACTGAAGCTAAACATGCCCTGTTCGCACGACGTCTGGAAGGCTTCAAATCCGGCTCAGTGGCGCCGTGTCCTCCGCACGAGGCATGGCCCAGAAGTCTCCTTTCAGGAGGCTTTCGCCAGGCTTTTCTTCAAGTCCAGTACTTCCAGCGCTTCAGCGCCAATATCCCCTCTTGGGAACTATATCCTCATACACGCTATTATCCAGCAAATATTTTTCGCACGCCAGCTCTGCCTCTCCGCCCCAAGTATGCATGGGACCAGCTTACGTCAAGAAGACCTATCCGCTTTGGACAATTCTCTGAGTGCTTGGAAGGCGCTATGGAAACGCACACCCGAATCCAGCATTGATCCTCAAAACCCGGCAGGTCCGATAGCATTCACATCTACTGCCCTTCTTGGGCTTGCTTATATCCGATTGCACGTTGACTTGGGCCCTTGTCGTCGTCTTATCACGCAAGATCCCATGCAAATCGCAAGAGCTCTGGGTGAATCTCCACCAGTAGCACGAAGCCCTCGTCTGATCATGGCTCTTTTGCATTCGGCCCATGCCCTCTCAATTCCAGTCCGCCTAGGTATTGACTTCGTGGCCCGAACCCATTCGTTCTTCTGGAGCATCCAGCACTCGCTGTGTAGCTTGGAGTGTGCTTTCCTCCTTAGCCGTTGGCTGCTGTCCATACCAGTAACCCAGGCCGAGCAGAGACTGTCAGAGCACGAGCGAAAGCTGCTTCTGTGGATCAAGAGTATGATGGATGAAACCGACATGGCTGTTGATCCCCCTGGGGCACCCGACCTGGACTTTATTGCCAATCCTTATAAAGCGAAGCAGCTGAGTGTTGCTATCGTGCGTGTTTGGGCACGAACCTTTAAAGGAAACACAAGCTGGGCGATTGTGGATCTAGTTGGATCGAGTCTCGATACATATGCTGATTTTCTAGAGACGCAGATGTAACTGTCCACCTCGCTCTAAGTTCGGCTGGCGCCTCGTGATTCGAGGCCACGCCACCCTTCCAAGCAATAATCCATTTCTCACAGCGCTGGGGAGCCAGCACTGTCTGTGGTTCTTTTCCGTCTCGGTTGCGTGATTTGATCAAATGGCTGAACCGCCTTGATTGCTAATGACAATTTGGTTTTCCGTTATTCTTAGGTAGTTGCTGGTGTTGTTGTATACCCATGTCTTCACGGATATGACATCTTTATTTCCATAGTTTCTTTCCGTGTACATAAACTGTTTATGTTTTCTTTTCTTGTGGGGGTGGGGAGCGGCTCCTGTGTATCGCCATCATCTCGGTTGGCTAATGATGTCGCCTTCTACCTGCTGGGAGTCTACAAAATGCAAGGGAGTGACCATCAACTTCCCTACTTCCATTAGCTTTCATGGATTGATCTTTTCGGCCACGAGACCGCTCTCTAATCGAATGAACCGGGTATTAATAAAAGCGTTGCGTGTTGCAAGAAGCGGGTATCAAGAATACATGCAGTCCATCTATAGTAGCCGTAACCCACTACTTTTCACCAAAACAACCCCATTCTCATCCAATTCACACATCTTAAATCCCCCCAAAAGAGAAGAATCAAGACTTCTGCTTCCCCCGACTCCTCACCACACTAGCCGGAACAAACCGCAACGCAGACATAGACCTCTCCAGCTCCGCAATCCCCTCATCACCAGTAGGAGCGGCAGCGGCATCTTGTCGGGTAGTAGCTTGGGGGCATTTCTGAGCACTCGCACCAGAATCAGCCTGGGATATGGAAGTCTGACGATACCTTAACCGCCCTTCCTTCGGTGAAGTAGGACCAGGAGCAGCTGATGATAACCGCCGACGATGATCATGCGGCGTTCTTAGTAAAGAGGTCTGTTTGTCGATGCCGTCGTTTACAATGTAGAAATTGTATGTCTGGATACATCCATTAGTCTTAGTCTTAGTAAGTAATGAAGGAATATATGGCAGTATACCTTATGAAACATATGCTTATCAATCAAATGCATTCTGCGTTTCTGGGGCGTAGAACATACGCGTTCGCAGTCTTCGACGAAGCATGCATACTATACCCATCGTTAGAACCATACACTTCACAAGCTAACATGAAAGATCAAATGTGGGATAGATACATACAGTTTTCTCCCCCCTCTCCCTCCTTGTCGCCACTAACGCATCATGGTTCTCTTCAATATGGAGATTCAGAAACCTCTCCGTCGGGAAATTCTTCCCGCACTGCGAACACCGATTGACGTGCGCCTGGCGGTAATGCACCTCGTAGTCTTCGTAGGAAGTAAACGAGATTGTTTCCCGATGGGGCGGTAGGGAGCAATGCATGACTTCTTGATTGGGGGTGGTGGTGGCTGTGGGATCTAGGGAGGGGATTTTGGGACGGTTTGATAGGGAAGAACAGGGTGAGGAGTGTGGTGATGGTGAGGGTGATGGAGATGGGGATGTGCTGCGTGAGCGTTTGGACATTTTCTTTGGTCTTTTGTATGGAGTGGTGATGTTGCTGGTTGTGGATGATGGTGAAGTGTTTGGGAGACTGTGATAGGTCAGGATTGTATTAGTTGGTTGGATGGGCTGCAGCAGTGTGCAGATTGGGGTAGTGTGGTTGGTTTGTCTGGATGGGTTAGTTGGATTCTCACTGTTTGTTTGAAATGTGGGGAGATGTTTATTGCTTACGATATATTAAAAGTATGATGTAGATATTTACAGACTGCGATAGTGTTATTGTTATAGTATAAGAATGGTTGGAATATGGAGGAATGCCCAGCGAATATTTGGTGAGCCACTAGGCTGGATTAGTTCTAGATTGGAGGTGGGATACTTTTTTAGCGGATGTCATAGCTTCCGCGATTAGTGGAGGATGGATGATGGAAAGTCCGGATGGCGGGTTGAGTACCTTTGTGATGGAGATTGCCAGATGACTTGCCAATTATAGATGGCTACAGCAGTAGTTAGACAATAGATGGGAAATTTTTAAATGAGTAGAGGGTCTCGTAAGGAATTAAATTGAAATATGCAATATGCAGACACACTGCTAATAGTAATAGGGATCTTCTCTGCAATGAGTATCTGCAGTGTGGATCCTCAGGTTTCCCCCCAGCTGAAAAGTAACATAGTATCGAAGTATATCCCGGAACTACTAAAATACCGCATAGTTAACATTCGTGTGTCTATCACAAGTTCATGATTTGCAAATCTGCATCTGGTATTGGCGTCTCGTACTGTAAGGAAGTTACTGAGGAGGACGGTTCGGTGCCTGAGCCGGAGCACCAGCCACAACCCATCCAGCCAATCACACATCTGAGAATCTCTCACTAGCCACAAAAAAGACCGCCGGGCAAAGCATCCCGAGCCATTCAACCATTTTTCGGACGAGCGTCGAAAAGTTCCCGTGATATGGGATTTTCTCTCCAACGAGCGGCGGCCGCGAACCCCTCCGTTGTTCGTCTTCGCGCTTCGGGGTCCATCCTCATTGCTGCATCCACATCCTTCTTCTTCCCTTCACTACCAGTGGCTGTCACTCCGGAGTCCTGACCGCCCTCCACGCCCTCGTTCGCTTTTTTGTATATACTAGTCTTACTGACTGATGGCTCGTTCACTGTTCCTGTCGCCCGCAGACTCCCAGCCAGCCATAGCCATCTGACGGGCGAATGTCACCGTTAGACTGACACGGGTGTGATCTTTCTTGGTCCTGAGCATGGCGTCCGCGTTCCAAAATACGTGGCAGTCAGTATTCCCCTCTCCGCTTCCTCGCTGACACTACTTCTCTTACAATTATTCTTCTTGTTCCCCCAAACCGTGTGTGGACCCGTGTCTCTAATGCCAAATCCCGCATTATACAGAACTGCGCTCGAAGTCGAAAAGGAGCTCCTCAAGAGCCTTGCCGAGAAAGAGCCTACGTTTGCTGAAATATCCCATTATCTTTCGGAGTTAGTTGCTCCCCTCCTGCCGTCTTGCGGTGCTTTGGGTTTGCGCGCAGAATCATCTGACCGTCTCTGTCCTCCCTTCCTCGCCGTCGCAGATTCCGCTCTACTTGCCAGAATGCTATCCTTCAAGACTTCGAGACTGCCCGCTCCGTAGATGTTGAACCTCGCCTCTGGGATGCGCATCTTAAGATCAACACCCGATTCCGCAAATTGCTCTCTCGCGTGAGTGTCGCATCAGCACCCTGCTCGTTCGCAGGCCGCCAGTGTCTAATTCGTGATTTACGTTATAGTTCCGGGAGGAAAGCGGAAAGAAGAAAAAGCCGGTAGAGAGGCGGAAGCTCGAGAAACATTACCTCGAGTTTATCAAATCAAGTCAACGATTCTATCGAGCTTACATCCAACAACTGTCCTCCCACTTTGGTGGCATCCCGGAGCTGGAAAAGGTCGCGCGGAAATTCAATTCTGACAGTGAGTATTGTCATCCCCGTTTCTTCCTGGGCTTCCGTTGAGCAAAGCCATGTTTCTTTCTCAGATCTATCCGCGGAGCCTCCGATCCGAACTTCCGAAGCCCTCAGAACGCACATCCTTCAATCATGCCATTCGACCCTCATCCGTCTCGGTGATCTCTCGCGCTACCGCGAGACCGAACTGGTCAGCAAGAACCGCAATTGGGGTCCAGCCATAGGTTACTACGACCTGGCTACATTGATTTACCCAGCCTCCGGTGCCCCTCATAACCAATTGGCAGTCATTGCTCTGGCCGACGGGAACCATCTAAGGGCCACTTACCATCTGTATAGAGCGTTGGCTGCTCAAGAGCCACACCCTTCAGCCAAGGGTAACCTTGAGATTGAATTCAGGAAGGTCATGAATGCGTGGGTCAAACGAGAGTTGATCCGACCCGAAGACGCTGGCATTCCCGGAAGGTCATTGGCCCCTTGGTTTGTATACCTTCACGCACAGTGTTACAGAGGGATTGATTTCCCTGAACATGACGAGCTTGAAAGTGAAGTTCTGAACCAACTTGCCGTGGATCTGAAGGAACGCTCCTTGGAAGGTACTCTACAGAAGTTCTGCCTGATCAACATCGCTGCTGAGGAATTTTCGCGGACTCACACGAGTGGTAAGTTTTTCGACTCTCTCCTTAGTAGAGGCGTGCGTTGAACCAAATTATTAGAGGATTCCACATCCAATGCCCGCTCGTTCTTTCAGCGGATCAACGTGAAGACCTTCTTTACATTGCTCCAGATCCTCCTGGCCGAAGTAGAACGGTTTGCGGTTGAGGATCCAAGCAACAAAGACGCCAAAACCGGACCTGATAAGGTTACTGTTGTCGCACGACGTGTCCTTCCGGCGCTTCGGAATTACAGCTCTTGGCTCCTTACGGCCAGCAGCCTATTGGTGTCCTATCAAGGAGAGAAGGACAGTCCTCTAGCTGTCCAGATAATCGAGTTCTGGAAAATTTACGCCAACACTTTAACCCTTCTTGCGTCGACGTTCGATGTAGTGAATCTGCCTGAGATCGACTATTTGCTGGAAGAGGACGAAGAGACCTTGTGCTTTGCGCCCTTGGCCAAAGAGGCAACTTCCCGGAGGTATCTTAGCTCGAATGGCCAGCAGAAGCCCCGAATGAACGATCCTGGGGTAGAAAGGAATCACCCCAATATGGAGATGCTCTACAGGATCCGCGAATTTGTTATTGATGGCTTGGATCTCGTCGTGAGCAAGGTATGGATACTACGTGCTTGTTGTTATCCTCAATCGCTGTGCTAACCACTGCCTGCTTCAGAAAATACCCATTGCCCTGGTGGACGACGAAGACAAGAAAACATTCATTTACCAGGAAGAAGGGCTCCCTTCGCAATTCTTCGCCAGTCCCTCGGGCCATCACCATACGATCTCATCCGCTAGTATCGAACGGGACGACATTCAAAAGGCAGCACCTGATTCCAGCCACAACATTGACACGAGGAGTGTCTTTGGTGGGTCACAGGCCGCCTCTGCATCGATGTCAGCTAGCATGCATCGGATTGTGGAAGGTGTGGAAAGATTAGTTGAATCTGACACCTACGAGAATGCCCCGGCCGTACCGGAGCAGTTGGCTTTTCCACGGAGCAGCAATCAACAGCGACCATCCAGCCAGTTCTTCGATTCGAGCATGGATTCAATCTTCCAAGAGGATCTTCTTCCCAGGCAGACCCCTGCTGCTCCTCCCGGACTCGTACCCCCCGTGACTGGTTCTGCACCTCTCGTCCGAGTGTCGTCTTCCCACTCTTACACCCCCCGACCAGCCCTTCCCGGTATTCCAAGCATTTGGAACACAGCTCTGTCGCCGGAACTCGGTGACGCGCCTTCGCCGCGGACTCCGCCAGGTCTGGGACAACACTACCCGGCTTCCATGCTGCCTGGAAACATCACCAGCCCCAACCATCATCTACCGACTCAGGATATGATCGCTAATGAGCTCATGCTCCGGCAGAGCATGATAAACCAAGCCTCTAGGCACAGTCCGCTCAATGGACCTAGCACCATACCCTCCTCCTGGATGCCCTCGCCCAGCTCTACGTCGCACCACCGCCTTTCTGGATTCTCATGGGACCGAACCTTAGTAGATACCGCTGCAAACACCTCTGGTTCCTTAGGAGTGTCCAGCCAACCCATGTCCAGCGGCCTAAGTAATGCATCGTGGGCCAATAATGCATTTATCGCCAGCAGCTTCCCGTCCGGAACAGGGTTCCCTAGTTCCGGTTTCACCAACAGTCGTAAATCCGCCACGCAATACGGTGCCATCGGGCAGACACCTCCTTGCGGCCATGGAGGCTGATCTCAAAGACTGTACCACTCAACCAGGTTCTGTGGGTGGGTCAGTGTGGCTACTCATATTTCAGCACCTCTTTCGCAGTGACATGAGCAGGATTGAGGAAGCATGCGACTGCCTAGCTGTTTGTTCAAAGGACTGAGTGACCAACTCTATCCATCTACTTCCGAACTCTCAATCCTGTTGTGGCCGGATCAGGCTGGTAATTGAAGGTCTGGTAGGAAAGAAGAGGAGAAACGGTCATTGCTATGCAGACCCTCTGTCACTCGTTACCACAGCTCAGGTTCCGACAATGGCGTGACCAGACTACCATAGGATTGGATCATGCTCGTCCGTCCATAGCCGTTACCGGCGGGTTATCGAAGAATGGGAAGGCTTGTTGATGAGATTTGACTCTGCCTGGGATACGATGATGACGATGATGATAATGATCTCAAGGTCTTAACGTTTGTGCGCTGATGATGAAGGCGAAGGGGGTGGAGAGAATGATGAAATTGCATGCAGCTAGCTAGCTTTCTATGTATGAGGCCACGGCGTGGATGAACTGTGCACACGCAAGCGTTACAAGAAGAAACCGAATTCATCTTCATCTTTATCTATCTTATTCCTTCTCAGTTCTTCGTCATGTTATGACTTATTTCTATCTCATGTTCTCCCCTTATCCTTTCCCGGCCTCATACAGAATGCTACATCAATACTACGATATTACTTACGATATTCCTGGATTCTCTACCCTGAAGCAAGCAAATCCTAGAATGAATCCAGTCACGGGAATGGATTTGACTGTTTTCGTACGTTATATATATACAACTCAGATATTGAATTCTTCATTAAATCGTTGTTGAGAACGTCATCATCTGCAACTCTGCGATATCTATCCATCGTAAATGTAAAACCCAAAGGGAAAGCGTGATAGCAAGGATCCGCATACATGAACCGTTGATGAAAACAGCATAGTCTAAGACGTTAAGTCAAGGACGTGAGGGGTATAGAAGGTTGAATCTTTAGAGAAGAAGAGGGAAAAACGAAATTTTTTGTAGATGAGAGAAAAAGGTATCAGCTATGGCTCCACGATTCCAAAGGTGAGTTTGGTGGAGATGCTTAGGAGCGGTTGATGGGGGTGTAGGCCTGCTTGGGGAAGGGGAAACTAGATGTCGGACATTAGGGTTAGTGGCTGCTAGATATGTGTATAATCAAGAAATGGGGTTTGTTCGGGGACTTACGAGGCACCCAGCTCCTGGATGCTGAGGGAAGCGAGCCACTGGCCCATGTCGATGCTGTCCTCGAGGGACTTGCCTTGGACGATACCGGCGCAGAAACCACCGCAGAAGGCGTCACTGTGTGGTGGTTAGATTTTGATTCCCGTGATTTAGGTTGTATAGGAGGTTGGTAACTTACCCGGCACCGTTGGTGTCGTTGATGCTGCTCTTGGGGATCTCGCGGACGGGGATCTCCTTGACCTCGACCTCGCCGTTGGGCTTAACGGTGGCAGCGACGGTGGGGAGGGTGCCCTGGGTCACGATGGCGACACGAGGACGGTTGGTGTTCTTCTTGGGGAGCTGAGCCAGCTTCTTGGCGATCTCGACGACGTCGTCGGTGCCCCAGCTGTGGCTCTCGGAGAAAGCACGAGCCTCGGTCTCGTTACAGAAGGTGTAGTCGGTGTAGGGGAGGACACTGTCCAGTTGGTCCTTGAAGAACTGGGCAATGAAGGGAGCAGAGAGGTTGAGCATGAAGACCTGTAATTAAGTCCTGGTCAGTATGCTGTCAATGAAACCATTTGGGGTTGCCCATACCTTGTTCTTAGCAGCAGCTTCCTCACCGAGGGCCTGGATGGCAGGAACACAGACGGTAAGGTGGAAACCACCAACGTAGTAGAACTGGGCCTTCTCAACGAGAGACCAGACGTGAGGCTGCTTCAAGTGCTCGATCTTGTACTCGTTGGCGGCAGCAAGGTGGGTGCACATGCTGCGGTTGTGGCCGGTGATGATGACACCGCACTTGCCGGTGGGCTGGGCATCATCGACACGGTATTCGGTGTGAACACCGGCCTGCTCGCAAGCCTCCTTCAGGATCTCGGCATACTTGTCACGGCCGACACATCCAATGTAGCAGACGGAGTTGGCGGGAAGAGCGTACTAGTTCGACTTCACATTAACATCCGTCCGTGTGTACCTTGGTAGGAAGGGATCGGGGTCATCTAAGTACCTGGGCACCACGGGCAGTGTTCTGGGCAGCACCACCGGCGATCAGCTTAACATCGTTCTTGGCGAAGAGCTCGTCATAAAGACCCATGTGCTGGTCCTCAGCAAGGATAGCATCGTTGTCCTTCAGACCATACTTCTGCAGAAGGGCGGCATCACTAGTGACAATGTTAGAATACTTGAAATAGGGTCTAATCATAAAGTAGAGTTTCCGGAAGATGTGACATACCCAACAGCCTGGATGTCTATAGGAAGCAATTCAGAATGCCGTATGTCAGCTCATTGAACAATGTAAGATCCGGGGATAGTAAGCAGCATGAGAAAGAGGCAGAGAGGGGAAATCTCACGCACCGAGGAGGGGGTTCTCCAGGCACAGAAGAGGGTAACCTTGAGGAGCAGCCATTGTGAAGGGTAGAGTGGGAGAAAATGGGGGAGGAAACAGGTAGAGGGTATAGAAAAAGCAAGGGAGGATATAGAGAGGGAGAAGAAAGGAAGAGAGAGGAGGGAGAGAGCAGCGAGATATACCAAGTCAAGGAGGGGCAGCCATGCAGAATCCAAAAAAGGCGGGAGTAATGGCTGCTCCCCGCTGATTGGCCGCAGGAACCAACGAGTTACTCCGTGCCCGGACTATCCCATCATTCCTCCCTACTTGCTTTAGTCTATACTCTCAATCTTACTATCTACAAGTTTTAAGTCCCTCCGGTGTCAAAACCCGCGGGTCCGAAATCCTTCCGTTCACACAGATACCTACATCCATTCTTATAAAATACCACCCATCATGACCGACCCCGCCCTCCAAATCCCCGAAGTCATCCAAACCGCCTCCATCAACCCGGCGCCGTCCGCGGAACACGACGTCAACCCGCCCACCGCAGCCTCCGAGAAGCAGCCCATCGTGGAAGATGATGTCGCCTCCGAAGCAGGCAGTATCCCCTCCGATGTCGTCGATCCTCACCGCATGATCAAGCCCGTCTCGCGACGACACCATCTGCCCCCATTGCCCGATCTGCGCTTCGAACAGAGCTATCTCGCCAGCTTGCGGGGAGCTGATACCTGGGGCCGAGTAGCTTGGATTACCATCAGAGACCAGGTAGGACACCAGTCTGCCCTGCAATACACTACTGGAACAAGTCAACTGGAAGCAAAAGAGTCCTCAAAACTGACACGAATTGTCTATATAGGTCCTCCTCCCTCTAATCCAGGGCACCGTCTGGACTCTCGCTCTCTCTGGCTGGCGATTCTGGAACCGCAACGCGTCCCTCAGTGGCCAGACACTCGGTAGCAAGATCCGGAGATGGTGGTACGAGGTGAACAACTGGAAGCTGCCTCCTTTGCGATCGGCCAGGGATCCTCACATGGCGGCGAAGGTGGAAGACGTGAGTGCATCCATCCCATTACCCATTCGCGTCGCTCTATCTTCCTTTTTTTCCCCCCATTTCTTGAGATATCTTTTTATCTTCATTTCAATTGGTTATTCCTCTAAGCCGAGATATTCGGTCACATATGCCAATGAGACAGACACTGACATTTGCGGAGTTTTTGCAGTTCTACACGGCCCAGTTCTCGAATGCCGGTGCTGATTAGGTTGTCTTTTTGAGTTGATTTGTATGGTTGTCAAAGGTATTGACGTGACTGTGGGTGTCTAGTAAAGTCTGCATTTGGGGAGTTTAGCGTACGGCGTTTATCCTTTCGAACCAGTGAGCCTTGATTGATTGATATTAAGCTTCCGTATATAGCCGGGGGCTTTCATTTTCCTACACGCTATTTCTGGTGTCTAGAGCCGAGGGATACGGAACTTCTATTGTTTCATCCCAATCTTGCAATTTAAGTACTGTACATAGCACATAGCAGCCCCGGCAAGAGGTCCGTCCATCTGGTATGACAGGTTATGTCTTGGAGTCCTCATCTCTCTAATACCTAATCGATCCACAGCATGGTCATGCTATATAGTAGTATAGCAGTCACGGGAAAAGAACTCCATACCACACACATCGCATTTCTAATAACAGCACAATTTTTTTTGCCGCAAAGTTGAACCCGACAAATTCCACCCACGAACAGAACGCCTCGAAGAAAAATGTGAGCGAGTCTTGTCTCAAGTCTGAGAAGAAAGGTATTCCGATGGATAACTCTATCAAGACGCGGGGAATCGGCCACTGAGGGATTCCGACCATTGGTACTGTGTTATAGTATATGTGCCTTGCCTAGTTCTTTTTCTTAAGCTGTTTGAGTCTTCGTCTCAGTCGCAGTAGGCTGCGATACTTCGACACTAGTAGAAGTGCTGGCCGCAGCATCAGGTAGAGACTTTGCGACCACGTCTGGTTGGGAGCTCTGTGCCGTAGCGGATTGCCCGTTCACAGCGGGTGGTGGTTGTCCTTGCAGTGCATCTTCCGCACCAGTCGCTGTGACCGGTTTAGCCACATCCTCCTTGCTCTTCGGATCTTGCTGTAAGGGTTCCTCTGCTGGCCCATTGGGGCTACTTGGGGCCTTGTCCTTATTGTACCTGAGTTGTACCACAAGGCTGGGTGGTTCTCCGTTCATCACTGCTTCATCCCCACTCAGCTCCTCTTCGTCGTCCCCCTCGAAATCGTTGTCCTCTTCTTCCTCGCCTTCGCCTCCTTGCCACTCATTTCCGCTGGATTGTCCTGCTTCTGAACCTTCGTCCATTTCATCGTCCTCGTATTCTGTATATCCATTTGCTCGAGTTGTCCGACCCCTTGAGGGTCTACCCTCGTCGCCAGCGTCGCCGTCCTCGCGTTGTCCACTTAACAACGTCTCACCGTAAAGGCCGCCTGCGCGGGACCGTATTTGCCTACCACTAGCTGTGAATCTAGGGCCGGCTGGTTCTGGGGGTGTGGAGATCCCCGAGGTGTTGCGCGTTGAGCGCCGCGTGGAAGGAAGGCCATCAGAGAAGATGTCCTCGTCATCGGAGTAGGTGTATTTCAGTTTCTTTCCGCGTGTACGGCCTTCATATAGAGAGAAGCCAGGCTCCGGCCGAGCGAATGCCGCCTTTCGCGCAATCCGGTAGTCTCGACGCTTGCGTTTCTGCTACTAGTAAGCACCGAGAAGATGTACCACAGCCAATAGCAGCAGCTTACCTCCTCTGAGCCCTCGAAGCGGGGTATCGAGTTCCTTATCCTCTCACTTAGTTTTTTGGAGTGGATACTTTTCTCGCCGTCAAGCCTGTCTGCAACCGCCTTCAACTCAGGGATATTTCCTGCCACACTCCACCAGGTAACATTCTTAAGGGCAGGGTTGCCCTCGCGGTACAGTCTGAAATGTGTATCATCCAATCCTTCGATGAGCCAGTATCTGCGCTTGAGGCCGTCGCGACCCCATGGTTGGACGGAGAGTGGTTGGTTCAGGTCGTCTTCGTGGCGTGCCTGTTTGTAGGACTCTTTGATTTTAGCCTGAATGGCATCGGACGAGGCAAGGGACCAGAGGATCAAGGATCTCAATAACAGCAACTAGACAGTGTCAGCTGATAAGCTCTCGGTAGTTTTGAATCAAGTTATGCGACGTACGCGTTCTTCTGGCGACATGGTTGCGAAAGTGCGACCCCCGTGCAGAGGGTTCTTGCCTTGCCAAGCCTTAGGCCACTGAGAAGCGTGGGTTTGGATCGCCTCTTCCAAGGGACGCTGGTAGTGATTCCGACTGCGCATTGATCGAGCGAGTTAGCTTTGATGTATGGTTACCAGAATTGGTACATAGGTGGTCGAAAAGGAGCTTCCCGACGTATCTTCCAAGAGTGTAGGGTCTGGGGCGTAGGAGGCAGTCATACTCGACATCCTTCTTCCGATTCAATACCAATCCAAGAAATGCACATAATAATCTCTCAATATGATCGCCCGGAGGAGATTCCGCGACGCCTCTTTCAACATCTTGTGGTCCAAAGTGTGGTGTAGATCGCGGGAACGCATCGTGAAAACGCGCACGGAACATTACAATGAACTACACATTGCGACAGGTCAGCATAAATGGTCAGGAAACGTGCAAAACGCGTCCATAGAGCTTGGAAAGAGACTTCATCATCATAGAAACCTCCGGGAACATACTGCAATATCTGGATTATCCGCCAACACATATTCGTGGGGTGGTGAGGGCTCCCGCTTCGGCGGCGGAGATTCGGACTCCTTCTTGAAGTACTTCGCGATGCCGACGGGCTCATCAATGGCCATGGAGCCCGTTTCTTCGTCGGACGGAGGCGCCGACGAAAGCGACGATAGGTCCGAGTCTGAGAGGGACATGTTCGACATGTTTGTGGTGCTGTCCGCAGGTGGTGGTGGTGAGGCAAGACAGAGCGGGCGAATCCGCGGCAGAAGTTCTACTTTACGCTACTGCTACCTACTTGGGTTGGAGCGCGGCTTTTACGCGCCTGGCCTGTCTGGCATCATCGAGAACAGCCCTTATCCAGGGATGATCAACACCCAATCACGATAACACATTTGCTATCGCGAACTGGACTCCATCAAACGCGCGAAAGGTCCGCGGAACAGACTACATTCAGAAGATTTCTTTGATAAGAGCATTTAGTGCAAAGCAGCTTTGTATTATGCAATTCGGAAGTCTTAATAGATCAATACTATCCGAAACTCCGCTCCAACAACGAACGAGCGTATCTAATCGTCAAACAGCCCGGCTTAGCTCCTAGAACATTGGATACTGCCCTAGTATCAACCCCGAGAGCGTCTGAGCGGCGTTCTTTAAGCAGAAATCTAGTTCTGCAAGAAGTTGCCGACATTCGAGTCGCCGGACGTGACAAACACAGTTTGTCGATCCACATTGAGCACCTGGTGGTGTCAAGATACCAAGATGACATTGTGGTAATCACCAAAGATGCTGACTCGCTCCCCAGGCGCGTCAGGTCTCATTTTCCCGGGTACACAGTGTCACATCTGGAATTGCTGATCGGTGCGTGACCCTGAGGCGGCCCGGGGGCATGTAGAGAAAGCCCAACAACGGAACGAGATGCGGCAAACATCAAGGCTCCGTCTGCTGACCCGGATGATCGAATTTGACCACTCCGAACCAGTATGATCTGTTTACATGGAGAAGACATCCAAATGATATAGGAACGCCAGCAAGACAAATAGTGCTACTAAGCCAGGTCAGCCCAGGTCAGATATTAAAAGGCGGTGCCTTGAATTAATAGCCCACTGCAAGGACATCTCAGGTAACAGTAGCAGGAGGAATACTGCTTGTTAAGAGACGGAATCCGACATGGACGAGCTGCGAGTGACCGAGACAGAGGCAGGGTAGATTGAATGGGAAGCGGCAGTTCAATAAAGAACGAAATTTGAATAAAGTGTGGAATTCAGAAAGAAGGGATAGTGTGTATCTAGAAGGGAATTTCATCACCAAAAACGGTTGCACTTTATCAGTAACCTCACTACTCTGCAGTCATAATAATAACCATTCTTTACTCATGATGATACAAGAAGTTCACCAAGTGCAAGATATGCTCGTTAATTGCGAAGTCCTACGTTAGTTATGCCGTCTTAGTAAGAAGGCGACCCGCGCCACGCAGCCGCGCCCACAAAACGGCACTAGTCCTAGCGCGGTTAGATTAGCGACTTCCACCCTAAAGCCCACACAGCCCTTCGCCGACGAATTCTCAACACCAACCCGACAAGCCCAATCTTAGCATTTTGAGGTACGAGAACTCGAACTCTCCCACCACAAGGTCGCCAGGCGGAACTTTCTCAATACTAACGTCCAGGTTCCTATATAGACAGTCGCCATGGGTCGCGTGATCCGCAACCAGAGGAAGGGTCGTGGATCCATTTTCAGTGAGTGCGACCGCAGAGATCCTGAAGCGAAATTCGCAGCATCTCCAGATCAATTTTTACTGATACAATTTTTCGCTCGACAGCGGCAAACACCCGTCTCAACAAGGCTCCTGCCCAGTTCCGCACCCTCGACTACGCCGAGCGTCATGGATACACTCGTGGTGTCGTGAAGGAGATCATCCACGACCCCGGCCGTGGTGCTCCCCTCGCCAAGGTCCAGTTCCGTCACCCCTACAAGTTCAAGACCATCACCGAGACCTTCATCGCCAACGAGGGCATGTACACCGGTCAATTCGTCTACGCCGGAAAGAACGCCGCCCTGACTGTCGGAAACGTCCTTCCCCTCGCCTCCGTCCCTGAGGGTACCGTTGTGACCAACGTCGAGGAGAAGGCTGGTGACCGTGGTGCTCTTGGTCGTACCTCCGGTAACTACGTTACCGTCATCGGCCACAACCCCGAGGAGGGCAAGACCCGTGTCAAGCTTCCCTCCGGTGCCAAGAAGGTCGTCAAGAACACCGCCCGTGGTATGATCGGTATCGTCGCTGGTGGTGGTCGTACCGACAAGCCTTTGCTGAGTATGTCTCCGGAAATCTGGCTCCGTTGAATCACTCTTCGGAGAGAATGCGGTTAAAGAAGAGGACTTTGATGGCTAATTCATTCCCTACAGAGGCTTCTCGCGCCAAGCACAAGTTCGCTGTCAAGCGCAACTCTTGGCCCAAGACCCGTGGTGTTGCCATGAACCCCGTGGATCACGTAAGGCTCCCTTCAATGATTTGGTCGATTTATCTACAGATTCTGACATGTTTTCTCTACAGCCTCACGGTGGTGGTAACCACCAGCACATTGGTAAGGCCTCGACCATCTCCCGCTACGCTGCCCAGGGTCAAAAAGCCGGTCTTATCGCTGCCCGGAGAACTGGTCTGCTCCGTGGTACCCAGAAGACCAAGGAGTAAGCGTGATATTGTGTGGAGTTTTCTTTGTGACGGGTTGAAAATGCTCTTTTGCTATGAGGCATATGTACTTAGGCGACTGCGGATAATCTCCCACGCGTCCTTAGCGAATCTAGGTCGTGGCCACCAAATATTTTCATGATGACCAAAGCAAAAGAAATGGGTTCAAAAAATTCAAACTCGGGTGCATGTTTTTTGAGATATCCTATTTTAAACGGTAGAACTAGGAAGATCTTTCCTGCAAGTCATCAGGTCCGTCAAAAGAAACCGTATTGCGGGATTCGTACAAGAATTGGTCTCTAGCTAGCCATGCGAGAGATTCAGAAGTAGACTTCGAATCTGCAATTGCTGCTACTTTGCTCAGCCATTTTGCTTGAGTCTCCTAAGATCAAGTATATGCTACTTTTTCTCTTCATAGGTGTAAGCGAGCCATCGGATACACGCCATGAGTTATCGAGGATATTAGACACATTTCCACATCGGGTTGAATGCAGTTCAATGCTACTCGAATTATTACTACCTAGCCACCAATCTTCTTACCCCAGATATTGTGGACCGGGCAATTGCAGAGACCTTGAAGTTCCTGCTACTTAAAGTAATTACGAAAGTAGTTGAGCACAGACGGAGTTTATCCTATTACTGCAGTGCCTGTGCTCAGGTCGGATATATATCTGCTTCTCACCAGATTAGGGTCTAACACATTCATTATTGCCGTCATGCAACAAATGACTTCGGATGTAATTAGTACAATGCACATGAGCCCTTGAGGCCTCTTTTTGCCCTCTTCATGATATAACTATTGAAAGTATAGGATGAAATGTCAATGATGCATGACATTGCAGCAACCGAGATACGAAACCTTGCTCTGAAAGTGACCAATCACAGCCGAATACCATCTAACCCCCAACTCAGCATGAAGAACTAAATGGAGGCGATTTCAAGAACAATTAGCACCATAGACTTACATGTACAAACAAAATATTATAATCATTCAAGGCCGATACCAATCTTTTACCCCCCTTGATACCTACTCCTACATCCAAAATGGTACCACCCCCGAAACTCCCTCTCCCCAAACCATCCCTATCCCCCTCCTCCACATCCCCATCCACCCGCTGGCTCGCCATCCAAACCCGCGACCCCAAATTTACCAACGCCTTTGTGTACGCCGTCCTCACAACGAAAATCTACTGCCGCCCAACCTGTCCCGCGCGTCTCGCCCGACGAGCCAACGTCCGGTTCTACGATACAGCTTCGCAGGCTGAGCTTGCAGGGTTTCGCCCCTGTAAGCGCTGCAAACCCGAGATTGTCATCAACAATAGCAACAACTTGTTGGGGGCGGGTAGCAATACCACAGCTACTAGTAGTGGTACTTTTAGTACTACTTTCCATCCGCAAATCCCCTCAGTGCAGAAAGCTTGTCAGACTATCAGGGCTTCTGTGCAGGCGGGTTCGAAACCGACGTTGCGGATGCTGGCGGCGGAGGCGGGGCTGACGCCGAGTCATTTTCATAGGGTGTTTAAAAGGGTGATGGGCGTTACGGTTGGGAGGTATGTGGTTGATGTTATGAGGAAGAGTGGTGACGGGGAGGTGTTGGAGGGATCGCGGAGGGATTGGGTTGGGGCTGAGGTTGAGGGTGAGGGTGCTGGAAATTGGCCCGTGCTATGGAATGACTTCGATGTTTTACTAGCCGCTGAGGAGGATGAGTTCGCTGTTCCTACTACTGTTACAATGCAGGATGTACAACCTGTAGTGCCGGTGCAGGATGAGGAACTTCTTGCTTGGCGTGCAGTAGGTTCTTACGGCGTTGGGGGAGGGTGTTCGGTTGATGAAACGCTTGCATTGGGTCATGAAGCGCTGTAGAAATACTTTAAGTTGTTTTAAGCACCTATTATGTGTGAAGATGAGAAGGAATGAAACCTTATGAGGGGATGGGTGATCGCAGATTAAGCGATCCTGTCGCATGACATGCACTGCCTCGATGGGACCTGACAGTAAGGGTTGTATACGCGTATCCGCTAAATCAATGTCTTGGTGGATTTGCCGCGGATGTTGATGACTTACGTATTCGTATTCAGGGGAGGGGTGAGACAGGGGATGGATGGGCTTCCCTGCTCCAGCCAGTTGTGTCGGTGCATCTAAATTGAATGGTTCGGGATCGCACTTTCAAAATACACGGCTTGAACTTGGTTGACACGACGGCATGAATGCTGTTGTCGCAGTAGATCACTACCCTGTTCTTCCGTTGCCTAGGATTTCTATCGTGTACTAGCTCACCATCGAGGTCTAAAAGCAGGGAAGAAGCCATACTATGTTTGAGTACAGTACTACAAGATTCAAGGAGTTATTGAGTAGTACGAATGATAGCCAAAGAAGGCTTCTGAGTCTGGTTGTGTTGCTAACTGCCCGAGAGGATGACACGTGACTGCATCAAAGAAGTAGTTCGAATATGTGACCGTATAAGTTGTTATCTTGATGGTGTACTCGACGAAGAGCCATAGCACATAAAAATAGCCTTTAGTACGAGATATGTACCCAATCTTGTGTTGGTAGTTAGTTTAGCTGTTGCTCGAGAATAAGCCAAGTAGAAGAACCAGATATATATACTACTAATATTGCCTGAACCAATGTGATTCTCGAACAATGATACGAGTACTCCACAAAGCTTCCGTACAAGGATTCTAGTATCCTCACAATCCATCTTTAAGCACTGAGATCCAGGAATCTAGCATTCCTGCTTCAGCGCCGAGGCGTTAAGCATTGTGATGGTGTTGGGGTAGTCAGTATACCTCTTTCCCGCCTGTGGTCCTCGGGTCCCACTTTTCTCCGTGTAGGGGTCTCCTTTCTTTCTCAAACCAAAGGTGTGATCGTTGCCCGTTTGACCATGACCTCCGCATCGAGTGTTTGTTTCAGATTGAGAAAGAGATGTGGGTTTAAGGTCGTCATGACTCTTGATAGGTTTAGTCGCAGGATCTACGAATTATGTCTTGGAGCCCCGGATAAGATCATCCTGAGATACTCTGTGCCCTCACCCAATGTAAAGCAGACACAATGCAATTGAACGTTTACCTGTACGTGGCCGTGTAATTTTACCGCCAATTTCCGCCAGATAAGCTTCTCTGACTCACCAATGGCAATGATTGTTGATGCATCGGACAGGTCTTGCATCATGACCCGGTGATCGCGTCTCACGCTGGCGCTTTCAGGTTACTGTAAAGAGTCATGATCAGAGGAAAACATATTGTTACAATGTATTATAGGGGCCCCTCTGCCGTGTCTGTCGCTTTGGACCCTGAACCATAATTGCTTGAGTTGGAGTTCTCTTGAATTGCTTCCGGACATACTGTGGGAGATCTTTACACAGCCTACAGTTCATCCTTGGGGCAGCCCTACCTACGAAGATGAGAAGCTCTACCCTGAGCCTCTTAAGCATCATGATTGTCTGAATAACTGACTGAACCAACCTTTTCGATGCTCCTCGGACTTCCAGACTCACAAGACTGTGTATCTAGACCATCTGGTTACTGGGTAGGTAGCCGCCCACAGTCTGTTCTGTAAATAGAACGAATCTCAAGTGGTGGCAAAGGAGAGCTTCCAATGGAGGACCACGTTTGGGACCGACCATCGGCCATCGACCGCCAATCGACGGCAGTGGATCCCCACTGCAATGGCCCACAAACGCGTGTCACTTCCGGCAGTCCAGAATCGGCTCTGGCCTATGATGCTTCTCATTCTGATACACCTCTAGATCCGCTCAGGCCTGATTGACAAACCCGGTTTTGCAGGTCAATGATAACGATAGGGCCTTCGTCAGCAACTTATCAACCAGTTGTGCCACCGGAGCGTCTGTACCTTGGCTAAAACCAGCTAAAGTAGACCAACCCACTAGTTGGAAATTCCAGATAGGAGAGCTGCTAGGTTTCAGGTACACCTCATCCTGCTGGGCCAACCGAACTTAATTATGGCGGTTCTGGCCCCGCCTCCACTGCCCATTGGATGGATCGAACCCTCCATCCATCACAGGGACTGGGTTTGCTTCACAATCCGTCCGTAGGATGGTTGAATATGATATACTGACTGCCCCGGGTTTAGGGTAGAATTAACCCAGTAAAGCATGACACTCTGGAAAGAAAGGATGGGATTAGGACAGAGCAAGCAAGGCAACGAGAGTCATCATGCGACCAAATTCTTTTCCCGGGTCCGTTTGGGTCGAGCGTTGGTGGGGGAGAAAATCCGCTGGGAACCTTGAAAAGGCAATGTGGCGCTTTCCGTGCAACCAGCTCCATCGCAGAGTGTCTGGCCCGCTTGCGATTGGCAATGGCATTGTGGTCGTTGCTGTTGCTGTCTGTCATTCCTCGATGAACACTGCCATGGTCGCAATGGCAGCCCCGGATTTACTAATAATATTCTCTTTTGTCCGGAAAAAATAATTAAGGTAGTAATAATAAAAATACTAAAATAATAATCAATAGGCATAATAATAGTAAAAGGGAAAAATAATCCCACCTGCTAATTTCCCCTGTCACCCTTTTCGAGCCTTCCCTTAAGACCCAACCCGTCCCTCCTGGTCTGTCGCAACTCTGCTGCACCTTTTCTTTTTACCACCTACCCTTTCTGTTTCTACTTGCTTGCTTTCATTCTCACTTCTCGCCTCCTGGCTGTGGCGCCATCTTTTTGTCTCATACGCAGCAGCGTGCTTCTTACGGATCCTGTTTCTTTCGTTTCAATTTCTCTTGCAACAACCCTCGATTAGAGAAACAAACATCACCAAGACGGTTTAACTTAATTTCTGGTCGCATCGTAACCTTCATTTCCCTAGAGCATAAACCTCGGATCAATACGACATTCGTTTTCCCACTCTATTTCCTATTTACCCTATAATCCGTCAACATGAACGTCAATCGCAAGTTCGATCGCTTCAAGCAATGGGCGGGGGAGAGAATGGGCGGAGAGGCCAAGACCACTCTCTCCGATGACTTCAAAGCCTTGGAAACAGAGATGAACGTGCGCCACGAGGGTAAGGATCACGACACCCAAGTCTCATGGTATATATCCGGTCCATTTACTCATTTGCTACCCTTTAGGAATTGACCGTATCCACAAGGCGACTGGCTCTTACATCAAGTCCATTTCGAAGCGGAGTGAAGGTGACGATAAGGAAAAGACCTTGCCCATTGCTCATCTGGGTAGTAGCATGGTTGGCCATGGCGAAGACTTCGATGCGAACTCTGAGTACGGCCGCTGCATGACCAGTAAGCTAACATAACTACTGATTCGCAAGCTTTATGCTGATGACGTTGTCTACCCAGTGCTTGGAAGGGCCGAGGAGCGCCTGGCTCGTCTCCAGGACGCTTACATCTCCCAGGTAAACGCGGGGTGGCTGGAATCGCTGGAGCATTCCTTGACTCAGATGAAAGAGTACCAGGTATGACGGAGTTTGCGAGCACCAATTGAGTGGTCTGAAATGCTGACTCGATGTTTCACAGACTGCTCGCAAGAAGCTTGACAGCCGACGTCTGGCCTACGATACCTCCCTCTCGAAGATGGAGAAGGCGAAGAGGGAAGATTTCCGCGTGGAGGAAGAGCTCCGGACCCAGAAGGTCAAATATGAAGAGGCCAACGATGATGTATCACGGCGCATGCAGGACATCAAGGACTCCGAAGTTGACGGTGTTGCGAACCTGGAAGCGTTCCTGGAGGCTCAGCTTGACTATCACGAGCGCTGTCGTGATGTTCTTCTCCAACTCAGATATGACTGGCCGAGCAGGTGAGGATTGCTTGAATTGTAAAGCTACATCGTCATGCTAACGTACTAGCAGAGCCCAGCCTCCCAGCACCCGTCGTCCAGGACGCCCTCGCTCCAACACTGCGCATTCCTATCATGAACGCTATGAACCACTGCATGAGGAGACCGACAACACGGCTGATCTGCGGCCTATTATTCGATCGACCAGGGCATCTTCTATCGAGCCAGCTGCCAGAGAGGTCTACCCGCCAGATGCTTTCTCTCAGAGACCTGCTCTGAACAGAACTACGACATTTGAAGGACCTACGCAATTGCGCCAAGAGCAATCCCCTGGCACATACCAATGGCCATCCCGGGCAGCTAGTGACAACTATATTGGCCGCAGAAATAGCGTGCAGTCCCGGACCATGGGCAGATCATATGTTGACCCGTACATGGAACAGTCGGAGGAGCCTAGTCCTATTAGCGGCACCAGTCCCGAGAGGACGTATATGGGGCAGAATCCATCTCCAGTGTCTTCGTATGGAGGTGCTGTCTCGAGAAAGTCCAGCTCTACTACCCTGAATGGCACACCACTGAACAAGAAGGCTCCTCCACCCCCACCTCCCCGCTCCAAGAAGCCTGCGCCGCCACCGCCTCCCATGAAGCGCCCTATCCTCAGTGCAGGCGAATACTGAGTCTTTTATTTGGTCACGGTGTATCTTACTACAAACAAGCTGGAGCTTGGAGGATTTGGCGGGCTATATACCAAATTGTTGCTCACGGATTTCCGGAAAATCTGTCTAGCGGGGGTGGTTGGCCACATATGCGTTGTATTCATCTCTACTGGAGAGTGATGGATAGAACTAATAAATCGGTTGGCAGAGCCTCGCACGGTCGCTAGTAGTCTGAAAAGGATGATCAGCGATAATTTGGGCCTGCACCAGCAGCAGTGGTGGATGAATGCCACGGAACACACACAGGACAGGTGTCCCACAGACGTGTTAGTGCATAAGGGATGGGTTTTTGTTTTTCTTTTCTTAGACGGGGTTGGTAGTGTAGATTATTCAGTCCTTGGGATAGGCATTTATCAAGTCATCGGCGTTTGATGCTGGCGTATTCGTATAAGCACCTAACAATAGTTCTCTCCTCAACGTAGTATCCCGATGTTAGCGCGGAGTGCCGAGGGCGGGCACGACGCTAGGCCCAAGGCGGGCAAGCCGGTGCGGCCTAGCTGAGTCAGCGACGGGCGCGGGCAGTGAAAACACGTGACCCGGCACGAAATCTTCTTCCAACGTCTCGCCGCCTGCCTCTCCTCGTTACAGGCACAGGCTGAGCACCGCCAGTTTCCCCGACCAGCACGGAAAGTCGCGAAAGCCCCGTCCCCTCCATCTCCATTTCATCCAGACTGGTCTTCCACGCGCCTTTTCCAACGCGGCCCCTCCGTCTGGGGTCCTTTCCACCCCTACATCCTCGTGTTTTACACCCCCTTCCCCCTTCTTCCTGATTCTCCTGTTTTGTCACCTACCGCCCTGTGTCTCCCCCGGCCTGGTCCAAACATCACGAAACTTGTCGCCAAGGTCCAGATACAGGCCGCTACCAGTCGCATTCATCGACATAAGGAGCTCCCCATCCCTCCACATCAGTAATTTAGCGCACTCGATCGCCCTTCCCTGCGCAAATTGTCATTTACCCTCGCTGTCCTCAATTCCCACGTGTTTCCCTAGGCGCTTGTTCGGGGCCTGTCGCATCCAGGTCGCTTCCACGTCGCCCCCCAGCGTGTCGTTTCGCTTATGAATACGTCCACCACGCGCTAAACCATGGCTTCTCTCCAGTCAGCACCCAGTATGGCGGCTGGAAACATGTCGTTGCCGCCAAACATCACGCAACAACAAATCCAAGAGGTCTTCCAGGTATGCTTTTCCGTCCCTTGTGGAAGCACTACCACCACACCTCCCTGTTATCTACCTGCTTTCTCTCCCTCAATATATATTCAATTAATTTTCAAATGTAAAATCCCTCTGACATAGCTCCTCGATAGAAATTCAAACAGATGCAGGAACAAGGCGTTCGCCATGATGACCCTGAATACCTTAAGGCCCACAATCTTCTATCAGCCTTTCAACGGCAACAAGCCTACCACAAACAGAGGCAGATGCAACAGCAGCAATTGCAGGTGCAGCAACGTCAACAGCAGCAGCAACAACAACAGCAGCAACAGCAGCTCAATGGCTCGAATACTGATGCTGTCGCTGCGAATGGCATGAATGGTACGTCCTATCTCTTCTCATTGTACATAGCATGTCGTATGGCTTGCTCATTGACTCGGATCCATTATAGGCCGCAACAATTCTATTCCCAGCGCGACAAATACCAATATACCGGATGCGAGCGCGACAGGGGGTCAACAGCCTGTAGCCCAGGGCGTCCCTCAGAAAGGCGCACCTGGGACCGGGAATAGCTTCTCTGCTGAGCAGCTTGCAACGCTTAGGAACCAAATCCTAGCTTTCAAGATGCTATCTAAGAACCTTCCGATTCCGGCTCGCGTTCAACAGCAACTT